TCTGTTTGGGATGGATCTGGCAAGTTGTGCATAGATGAGGAAGAAAAATCTCAGGTGTGGAAAGCTCATATGGAAAGGTTGATGAATGAAGAGAATGAGTGGGATGGAGATGTGGAATCCGCGGTAACGATGGAGGAAGTAGAGAAAGCAGTTAGAGAAATGAAACTAGGTAAGGCGACAGGGGTTTCGGAAGTGGCGGCAGAACATATAAAAGCGAGTGGGGTGATAGGAATTGAAGTTATGATGAGAATTGCTAACAGTATGTTGGATGATGAAGGTATACCTGAGGATTGGCGACACAGTGTGTTGGTGCCGTTGTATAAGGGCAAAGGAGATGTGAGAGATTGTGGGTCATATAGGGGTGTGAAATTGCTAGAGCATGGAATGAAGGTAGTGGAGAGGGTGCTTGAGAGGAGGTTGAGAAATATGGTGACAGTTAATGAAATGCAGTGTGGATTTATGCCTGGTAGGGGAACGGTGGATGCGTTGTTCATGGTGAGAATGTTGCAGGAGAATTATAGAAAGAAGAAACGAAGATTGTACATGTGTTTTGTGGATCTAGAAAAGGCTTTTGATCGAGTACCGAGGAAGGTCAATGAACGGGCGTTGAGGAAGAAAGGAGTGAATGAGAGACTTGTTAAAGCTGTGATGCAGCTGTATGAAGGGGCAGACAAAGGTGAGGGTTGGAAGGGGGATGTCGGACGCTTTTAGTGTTAAGGTAGGAGTGCATCAAGGATCAGTGTTATCACCATTTCTGTTTGCAATTGTGATGGATGTTGTGTGTGGAAACATAATGGAGGGGTTGTTATTTGAGATTTTGTAATGCAGATGATTTAGTCTTGATGGCTGATAGCATGGAAGAGGTGCAGTTAAAAGTTGACAAATGGAAAAGTGTTATTGAAAAGAAAGGGTTAAAAGTTAATATTGGTAAGACGAAGGTAATGGTGAGTGGGGAAGATGGGGAGCGAGTGATAAGTAAAATAGACCCCTGTGGGGTATGTGACAGGAGAGTGAAGGCTAACTTGGTATTGTGTATAGGATGTCAGAAATGGGTGCATAAGAGATGTAGTGGTGTGAGGAGGGCACTGAAAAAGGTGGAAGGCACGTTCAAATGTAAGAAATGTGTTCATGGTGTGATTAATAGGACAGACGCAAAGACGGGGTTGAGTGGTGGTATTGAAAGAGTGGAAAGCTTTGTTTACTTAGGGGATAAGCTGAATGCGGATGAAGGATGTTTGAGCACAGTTACGGCTAGAGTTCGTGTGGGATGGATGAAATTTAGGGAACTGGGTGGGGTATTGTGTGGAAAGAAATGGTCAGTGAAGATGAAAGGGAGGGTATATAAAGCATGTGTGAGAGCAGCGATGGTATATGGTGGTGAAACTTGGGTGTTGAGGAGAGAGGAGGAAAGTGTACTGCAGAGGGCTGAAAGAGCTATGGTGAGGATGATGTGTGGGGTTAGAGTGAAGGATAGGAGGAGTAGTACAGAGCTGATGTCAATGATGGGACTGAATGAGGACATTGTGACATTGATAAGAAGATCGAAATTGCGGTGGTATGGACATGTGTTGAGAAGGGATGAAAGGGTCGGGATTAGGCGAGCGTTGGAGTTCGAGGTTGAAGGAGTGGTAGGAAGGGGTCGTCCGCGATTGGGATGGAGAGAGCAGGAGGAGAAGGACAGGGTGAAAGCGGGGTTGCGTGATACTGAGGCGAGTGACAGATGTGAATGGCGTCAAGGGGTATTTCGGTTTCATCATAGGTAGCCAAACGGCAACCCCCAATCTCGAGGAAAATGTCGTCTAAATGTGTGTTGTTGTTGTCTATGTCTATTTGAAATTAACGATTATTCAATCAATTAATTTAATTAATTAAATATTAATCTGTTTAAAATCATGTTTAAAATTATATTTAACTATTGACATCAACTAAAAAAAATTTCTATGTCATCATGCAATAATAAATATTACTATTTTATTTTTAATTTAACATATAATGATATCAATGAAAAATTATTAACCTCAACTTCAACGTCGGTTAGAGAAAGTTCTTTCAGCCTAGTTGTTTCTTTCTCTATCTCTCCATTTTCAGATGCACTTGAACATTTCCTAGCCTCTCCATCGGCTGCTCCTTCGTCATAACCTTCAACCTCATCATCAAAACCATCTTCTTCCTCTTCTGATAAACTGAAATACTCTTCGTTGGCAGCAGCAACGTCGTCAGTGGTGTCAGTGTTAGTGCCAGGTGACTTTATTTTGCTGGTGGTGTTTTCATTTTCCATTCCGGTCAGATTGTTCAACTCTTGATTTTTCGCTACGGCCAAGTTACGCAAGTCAGACTACGTGTGAAACTATTTTTGTTGCTTACGTTATTTTTTTTTTTGTCACACCAATCACTGAAACTGAACAATAGCTACCTCAATAGCACAATTTTTTAAAGTATAAACAGTTCTATATTCATGGTTTGTTATTTGATACTACAAAATACTCATTTGCAAAAAAACGGAAAGCCAAAATAATTTTAGAATTAATTAATTAATATTAAAAATAATAATAAAAAAATAATAACAAAGTTTCAAGTCGTTCAGTAAACTAGCATCTGTGTAAAAACAACTACAATATAAATGTTTTAGTATCCTAGCTCTCTTAGTTTGATTTTTAAATTGTTGATTGAATCCACAGAAACAATTTCATCGCTCAGCTCATTCCAGGCGTTTAACACCCTGCAGCTGAAGAATTTTTGCTTTATTGGATTTTCTGTCATTTTGAAGAGCTTGTATCTGTGACATCTTAATCTTTTCCTTTTTTAGTCAAAAAAACCTGGTGAACGGTGTATCTTCTTTTCCAGTTTTTAACTTATATGTCTGATTCAGATCTCATCTGCATCTTCTCCTTTCTTGTGTTGTTAATCACCATTTTTCCAGTCTATCCCTATATTCAAGTTTTCCAACTTTTTCAATTATTTTTGTTGCTCTACGCTGTACCCGTTCAAGAATGTCTTTGTCCTTTTGCAGATCTAGACTCCAAAACTGTGAGCAGTACTCAAGGTGAGGGCAAACTAATGTTTTATACAAGTTTATAATAATCGACTTCTCTCTGCTCACCACCGTTTTTTAAATTAAAAAAGACAAGTTAAAAATAAAATAAATTAATAAACAAAAAATTAAAAAAACTAGTTAATATTTTCAAAAATTATTTGCAATGAATTAAACATAAAAATTAAATGAAAGCATTTGATCAAAACGTTGATCTGAAAACAATCACTTCATTAAACGCAGTTAGCTCAGCCAATAGATGTGCTATGTCTCGTGCGTCTTTCTTAGCAACTCTTCCATTTTAAAATCCATCCAATCCTTTATGTCATTGATCTATCTTCTTTTCTGCCTTCTCTTCGCTTTGATCTAAACAGCGTCCTTTGTGTTATATCTTTTTCCATGCATTGGTGTTTTCTGAAGATGTGACCAATGTAGCTCAATGTTCTCTTTTTGACTTCAGACTCCAGTCGTTTTTAGAAACTATTTGTTGTTTTTCTGTTTTTCATGACATCTTCAGTATTTTTTAAACCTTTCATTTTAAATTTTTCAATACTTCTTTCCTCTTCCTTTTTCAATGTCATACACATACATTCATACAGTCTTCCGAGCCATAAATTGCTACTGGCAATGCCATATAATGCTATATTTTGCTCTTCCATATCTTCTGCAGACCGGCTGTAATTTTTGTGCCTTGCAAATCTTGCTCTGATATCTCTGGTGCATTCAGCATCTTCCGCAATGATAGAGCCCAGATAAAGAATGGAGTGCACTGATTCCATTCAAACTTCATTGACTAATTTCATTTGGTTGCTAGCCTATGTATATTGCTAACGTCATTTACTTATGTTTACTTTCCGAGCTTTAAAATTTTTTTCAATTTGAATTTGAAATGACTTTGTCGTTCAGTCAGGATTTACCTAAAGAGGATTCTTATTTTAAATATTCAAAACAAATTCACGATGGGAACGTTCCGCTGATTATTGATAATGGTGGCTTTTTGTTTTGGTCCTTTGTTTGCAGACAATATATAATATATATTGAATATAATTTTTATATTTTTTTTTTATATTATAAATTTGAGCATTAGTTAATTAAATTAAATTAAAATATTAAGTTACTTATTATTAATTAATTTAAAATATTAATTAATTTAATAATTTATTGGCTACTGTGTCTGGATTTTTTGCATGTTTGAAAATGTAGAAACAAGTTATCCCAAGCCTTGATAGAATGAGAATCTATCAGATAGAGATTGATACTACAGTTACAGTTAATTAAGCATTAATAATTAATATTAAATTAAAAATAGATCACAGGGTCAAACATAGATATTATATAAAAAATAAATTCAACTTAAGATTTTTCTCTGTAGTGTCAAACAGTTAAATGGAGTTTTAAAAAAAGGGTTAGTTAAATTAGAACTATGGATGTATGTTGTGAAACGGTACATATTTTTGTAATGGAGAGTTTTACAAACAATTTTACATTTGATTTAAGATATAAGTAAGTTAATGTTAATCATAGTATTAACAAATTTAAGTTAAAATTAATATTAGTTAAAGCTTTAAATATTCATAATGCAGTGCCACATATGTTTTTATAATTTTTGATGTTTTATCCTTTGGTCAGTCTTTCTTTTTTCATTTTTCACTAGTTCATTACCAAAATGTTCTCAAGCTTTTAATTTAAACAAATGTTTATTATGTCTACCATCACTCCTTGCTGAAAATTTGTTCATTTGGAATTTGTTTATTGATTTTTATATTTGTTTTTATTTTTTTTTATTCATTGCTTGCTATTTGTTGACTTTTTTATAATTGTTTTTGACTTTTTTCCATTATTATCAGCATTTTACCATAATTTTTTATATTTTTGTTGAATTTATAAAAAAAAATCGTTGAGAACATAATGTCTATGTTGTTTTTTTTAATTAATTTAGTTTATATTATTATGGAACTTTAAAATTCCAGGTTCATACAGATGCAGAGCAGGTTGGGCTTCCAAAGATGATCCACTGCTCATTTTCAGAAATGTCACTTTTAAGCAAAAAAACAAAAAAACTCTTGTAAGTATTTTTCAAAATATATTTTATATGGAAATAATATGTTGTCATTGATTAGTTTAAGCATTCACTTGTTGTTAAAGTATCATAACCACTTGTTTTTTGACAAAATTCATAAAGTTTTTCTTCTTGCGAGTAAAAAAGAATTAAATATTTTCATTCATCATTTTTAGAATTAATTTTTCTTAATAATTCAAACAATAAAAGTACTGAATAATTTTCAAAGGAAAATGAGATACTGGTTGGCAATGACATAATAAATTTTGATCAAGTCTACAATCACAGTCGAAGTGCCTTCGAGAGGAATGTTGTAACTCAGTTCGATATCCAAGTTTGTTTTTGCATACTAGATTTCTTTAATGCACATTTTCAACAAACACTTTTTTCAGTGAATGAATTGTTCAAGTGAATTTATTTTGGACTGGTTGTGTAACCTCTTAATGCTGTGAGCAAAGGAAGATGTTGACTATATAGATGTTGTTCACAAATTTTAGATATCCTTAATCAAGGTATATCCGTTGCCTTTAATAGCAATGTTTCATATTAACAATCAAATGTTATGATAAATAACTGCTAATTGTTTTGTGGGCAAGTTTGCTAAAGACAGATGTACCATGTTTTGTATTGTAACTATAAGGTGATGCAGGTCAAATTCTGCTGTCTCTGAAGAACCCAACTGAATTTAGATTAAGTTGTGTATGCTATGCTGTTTTAGAAAAAGTTCTACAATGTTGTTGAATGTTTTTGCTGATGTTATCTTTTGCTCATCTGTCAATCTAGTAAGGTAGTGTTAAAATTGAGAATCTCTCCAAACCGTTGGTGTTTATGAGTATAAATTTTTATTTTATTTATGTCAAAACACTTTTTTGTTTCTTTAAGCACTCTTTTCAGTCTTTATTACTTTATTATTTTTGTCTGACAGATTTTTATGAAATTGAACATCAATTGTCACCTGAAATGAAATAATGCAATGAGAATATGATTTTATTTAAAATTCACATTAATTGATGCAGGAGCAGATTTTTGATTACATTTTTCGCCACCTGCAAATAAATTCCGTTGACAGTGACATGCCGCATCCTCTGGTTATCACCGAGCCGCTCTCCAATCCAAACTATTCCAGGGAAAGTAATTTTTTTAATTTTTTTATATTTTTTAAAAAGTCGTTTTTGTATCTTATTTCCTTTCAGTTACTATTGTTATAATTTTGAAATATTTAATTTCCAAATTAACTTTTTATTTACTTAATTCATTTATTTATATATTTTATTAATTTTTTATTTCATTAGTTTTTTATTTATTCAAATTCATTATTTATGTACTTGTACATTCTGATTAGATGGGTAGAAGACAGTTGTGGAATTTTGATTATCTATTATATATTAGGTTTAAATAGGAATTAATTTACAAAATTGTTGGAAATGAGCAAGTAAAGAAGGAAAAAGCTTACACTTGTGAATGAAGACCATTTTTCTTCATTCCCAACATATCATTAATTTAAAAATTTCTTAATCTTGGAATCTGAATAATCAATTGTTATGATTTAATTTTTGAAAAAAAAGAAATAAATGATCCAACTCTTGGACATTTTGGCAGGAATGTCTGAACTACTATTTGAACACTACAGTGTACCCAGCGTCCAGTATGGAGTGGACAGTTTGTTTGGTCTCTACTTCAACAATAGTCTCAATATCTCACCTGATATAAAGCATTCAGCTGCAACCAATGAATTTACATCTGATCATTTTATTATTTCATGTGGCTACAAGACATCTCATTTGATTCCAATAGTCAGGGGCAGAATGATGAAATGTAGGAGGTTTAACTATGGAGGCAAGTTTGTGATTGTATTTCTAATTGTAATCTTTTAAAATTTACATTAAACTGTTTCATGAAATTGAACTAATTTGGTATTGTGTATTGTTGTCAGTGGCAAAGTTGTTCATTGTCAGTAATTAAACTAAAGTATTTGCCCAAGTTAAAAATAGCAAGCATAGTCATTAATATTCAGTGTACTTCTGCATATCAATCAATCAATCAATCTTCGTTTTGCGTCCAGAGACCCAGTTTCCTGAGGTAGGACGTATTTCTGCATATGATAGTCTTTTTATCTGACTTAACCGCTGGTAATGACTTTTAAGCAATAACTTTTTTTTTCATGAAAGAATTATGTGCTTTTTAACTGGTCTTATTTTTATTTAGAAAAATAGGTTTATTCCATTGCTTAATATTAAATGTATTAATTATATATATTAATTATTTATATATATATTTTATATAAATATATATCATTTTCGTTTGACTTAGTAATATTTTGAGTTGATTTAATTTGGATGTTAACATTGTAGGGTTGATGTTTTAGCGTAGACATCAATAGTACCATTTTTCACATAAACAGTTATTCTCTGTTCTTACTGCCTTGTTAGTTGTAATGCATTACATTTACGTTGAGTTACATTTGGATTGCAATAAAATTGTCGTATAAATATTGCCAGTGATGAACTTAATAACGTGATGAACTTAATAACGTCCTACCTCGGGGAACCGGGACTCTGGACGCAAAACGAAGATTGATTGATTGATTGATTGATTGATTGATTGATTGATTGATTGATTGATTGATTGATTGATTGATTGATTGATTGATTGATTGATTGATTGATTGATTGATTGATTGATTGATTGATTGATTGATTGATTGATTGATTGATTGATTGATTGATTGATTGATTGATTGATTGATTGATTGATTGATTGATTGATTGATTGATTGATTGATGAACTTAATAACCACTTCACCAGGTAACTCAATGGACAATTTCATGATGAAAAGTTTGCACCTAAAATATCCTGGACACATCGCAAACATTACCCCTTCGAGAGCTGAGGTGGCCAGCCTAATTGTTTCATTATTTGTTCTTGTCTTATCTTATCTTATCTTATCTTATCTTATCTTATCTTATCCTATCTTATATGACTAATAGAGTTTTAATTAATTAATTAGTTGATAAATTAATTATTAATTAATTAGTTAATTAGTTAATTAATTAATTTATTTATTTTTAACTTTTTTATAGCACATAGTTCAAAATAAATGTCATTTTGCCATTGATTTCAATGAAAAGTTACTGAAATGGACGAATGATTCGTATTACAACAAACACGTCATCAAGTATCAACTTCCTTTCAACCAGGTATATGTGAAAGCTCTCTATCTCTCTCTCTCTCTCTCTCTCTCTCTCTCTCTCTCTCTCTCTCTCTCTCTCTCTCTCAATCTATCAATCTTTCAATTTTGTGATTTGAAGAGATGATGAGATGTGATTATTTGATAAGAAGATGATGATCTGATGTGATGACTTGATGAGGCTTGATGATGATGTGAGAGAGGGTGATGATGATGCAGTGTTGATTGACAATCAGGTGGTAGCTCAGAAGATTTCAACCGAACAGCTGAAACAGCGACACGACGAGCAGATTAAAAGGCTGATGGGGATGAATCTGAAAAGAAGACAGGAAAAGGTCATTTTAATTTTTTTTAATCATTATCTTTTAATTATCGGATCAAACCTGATCAAATCATAATCATTTGACTACACCGAAAAGTCTAACTTTCTGGTAAAATATCCAACAACAATTCTACCCACATTTTTTTCCTTAGCTAAAAATATAGAAATACAATAATGTTAATTATTTTTTTCAGCAAATCGTTTGTTATTCCTTCAATTTAAGGGAAAATATTGGCTATTTTGCTGGGCTAGTAATAAAATTTATGAACATTTGCAGTTGATATCAGAACAGGAGAAATTATCCCACTACATTTCTCTGATGGATATTATACGAGAGGAAGTTGAAGAGAACGGAGAGTATGATAATGACGCTGTCAACGTATGTTAAATCATAAAATAATAATGATATTAACAATAATAATATTGTTGTTGTTGTTGCTGTTATTTAAGTTATTGTTTTTATTATTAAAAATTGAATATGAATATTGGTAGGTTATCCATCTTAAATCTACCCCAGCCAGACATGCAGACATGAAACTGCCTCCTTATTATGTTTTACAATTAAAAGCATGTTAAAAGCGTTTTAGACGGCGTTAGTTATCCATAGAGATTGTTTTATTTATTTATTTGTTTGTTTATTTTATTTGTTATTTATTCATTCAGGCCATCTTACAGGACAATAACTTTTCAGGCATGCAGGAACTAAGGGCAGTCATCAGCAAGCTGAACAACTCCATCGAAGCGTTACAGGATAAAATTATGACCTGCACGGAACAGGTTGGCTGGTTGTTCATCCATCTGCTATTTTTAAATGCCACTGGTTCGTGGCTCGAATGCCAGCTGTTGATGCTCTCAGTTAAATATATTCTTCTGTTCTTTATCTGATACAGTCTTCTGCTTCTGCAAACTTATAAAACTATTTTCAGTGTAATAAACAAAATTTGAGGATAATAATACAAAATTATTTTAAATTAAGTTATTTAATATATAACAACATTTATTAAAAACTGCGAATATTTTTCTCACAAAGAATTTTGAGTCTGGAAAAAGTAAAACAAAAAAGGCCAAACTTGATAAGAATAAGTATGTGGTTAGTACTCATTTTTTGTAGTCGTTCTGGTTGAGTAGTATATTCGTAGTTTAATACTATCTCTTCGTTTGTTGCTTAAACGTTATTTTAATTTTTTATGATTCTTTTCATATATAAATATATAATAAAGAGGGTTCAAGTATATATATATATATATATATATATATATATATATATATATATATATATAAGCATTTGTTAACAGTATTTAACATTTAACAGGCAGTCTTAAGAGGTTGAGTAATACAATATGATTAATATTAATAAGTATCTAATGACATTAAACTACCGTGGCACCCAGGATGTTGCTAGGATGCCACCTCTAAGCGATACTGACGGTCGAAGGAGGTGGCTGGATCAACTAAAAGCTGACAGACAGGTTGTTTGTTTGTTTGCTTGCTTGTTTGTTTGTTTGTTTTCGTCGCTCGCAAGTTTGTCGCTGTGTTAATGAAATTTTTATTCTATTACAAATAGCGAGTTATTGATAGAATGAATGAAAGAAAAAACTGGAGGAATGAAATGATGAGGAGGAGGACGATGGCATCCCATCGCAGGATCAGTCTCATTAGTGAACTCGCAAAAAGTAATCGCTGGTTCATGTTTAAATACTTACAAATTGTTTCTTCAATTAACATTTCCCCTGAATTCACATTGAAATGTTTGCATTATTAATACTAACGAGGGAAGTACGAACGTTTCTTACAAGAGAGAGCGAAAGATATAGAAAACTCCAATTTAAACAACTAAATCTTTTTACCAAGAAGTGTTTTTGTTGATGTACACATCATTATCTGATCACATCAACTTATCACATCACATATATTGCAATAAGTATTTGATTCTATGCACTTAAATACTCTAGTGCAGATGATGACACAAAAGTTGGATACAATTTAATTTATCTATCCTTAACTTTAGACAAAAATGATGCAGCTCAGTTCTGTGGCTGAATAAAAAAAAGACATGAAATCACGATTGTCTGGCGCTTGATATTTGCCAACCAAATGATTATGCACACCTGTTACTGATGGTCAAAATTTTCAAACATAATGGATGGTTTGAATGTGTAAATCCAGATGGCTTGAAATGCAGATGATACTTGTTGCATTACAGTAGACATTCCGATAAACATACGGACTACATCAGGTTTTAATAATTGGCATAATGGTTTGAGAAACATCTGTCGTCATGAAGTGAGTCCAGAACATCGAGGGTCTCAAATTGGTAGAAATAGAAAAGATGTAGTTCAAGAAAGTTGAATAGTTCTGTTGTGTGTTTTAGATTGTGTTAGATATCTCACTGAAGAAATGATATCTTTTCGTTGAAAAACATCGTTACCAACTATCATTTTGGCGGTAATGATAGAAAAGCAAGTTCTTTTTAGCACCTTTAAAACAAGTTTAGTAGCAAGTTTTACTACCTTGAAAACATCCTTCGCATATTTTAGAAAATTAAAAGCTCATTATAATTGACATGGATGTAAATGATGATTTACAGAAGAGATTTTTTAAAGGAGCGGGATATATGAAAAAGGAGAAAGATTGGAATTCAATGCAAATTTGTTTTTTGTAAACCCATCAATTAACCATCCATCCTGTGTTGGCTACTTTATTTATTAACTGAATGCCTTTAACCATCTTGAAATGATTTTAATTTTTGCTGATGAACGAGCTGTTCTGTCGTTCATAGGTTTTATTTTACGCTCTTGACGTAATTGATTTGTCAAACCATTATTATTTTAAAGACAGCAAAAATACAGATGATAATTTTGGAATAAATGATGAAGACTGGAACATATACAAAGAAATAGTTAGGAAACATTTTTTAAATTTTCAACACATTTCATTTTATTAGCGACTAATTTTGAATATTTTATGTTGCTTCGGCGTATATATTTTCCTGGTCAATTTTATATGCAACAATTTTTAAACCTGGCCATTTTCTTATTTTCCATTGCTATCGTAAAATCCACGTAGCCCTCCCGACGCATACCCTGTGGAGCATTCCCTTTCTACTTACCGTCTGTGTTGCTTTCATTAATTTAATCCTCGACTTACTAACCTACTTGTTGCCTCTTTCGTTTTCATTCCACACACCCTTTGATTGTTAAATGAAATGAATTTTATATTTTATGTTTTATATGCATTATTTAAAAATATATGGTAACAGAATAAAGATAGCAGAAACTCGGATTCTGAAAATGACCTTGACCAGTTAGAGGAAATGGAAATATGCTTGCAAGAATATGATCCCGAATTTAGAAAGTGAGCTTCCATCTCGCTTTTTAGTTACTTTTGGTTGTGCTACAGTTGAAATTACTATTTTTCAAATCTTTTTTCATGTTTGTAAATTTTTTTTAGTAAGTCAACATGTTCTTTAAAACTGTTGATTAAACATGACCAGTTTTTTAATTTTTATATTGCATCATATTTTTTAGCATACATCACTATTTTGAATGAATAGAAAAAGAAATTTGATAGTTTCAACTATATTTTTAATTATTTTGATTGGAACTTGACAGGATTGATCCATCTGAATCAGCAGATTTGAACGAATACTACCAAATACACGTGGCACTCGAACAGATTAGGTTTGTTAATATCTGTTATCTCCACGATGCAATGTTCCTTAGGTTTACTCTGTTGATATTGTTTATTCAGAATACCAGAATTAGTATATCAGCCTTCAATGATGGGGTCTGAACAAGCAGGTTTATGCGAGGGGATTGGTCATGTTTTGAGACAGTTCAATAACGAGCAACAACTCAGACTTGTTCAGGTATCATTTTTGTTTTTATTCAGTTGCAGTCGGACCTCCTTATAACGAACTTCTACAAAAATCTCTATATAACGATTTTTTTATGTTATATCCCTTGGAATTTTACATATAAAACTGTTTCTATACAACGAAAATAATTTCTTTGTGACGAACCAAATTTATAAACGTTGAAAGAAATATCCGACCAGCAGACAATCTATGAATTGATATGAGCGGTGTTTTTACACTCCTTTGTATTCCTAGAACCATATTTATTGTTTCCTTTTCTACCTCAATTAGTTTTATTGGATTAATTTCTGTTATCAAAATAAGTGATTAGAAGGTTGGTTTTTTTTTATAAATATATAGCATATAAACACTTTTTAGGCAATATAGAATTTCTTTCTGAACAAATTCTATATAACGAAATTTCTATATAACGATTTTTTTTCTGAAACCATCAAATTCGTTATACTGAAGTCCGACTGTATATAGTTTAAAAATGTGTTTTAGTAGATAATTTGGTAAATATTACTAATTCACTTTATTTTTTATAATAACCTTAGTTAAAGTGTTTACTCGGTTGCAACATCACTACGTCATTTTTTTCTTCTCCTAGATCCTAAAAAACACCTTCCAGTGTGGCTGGCACTGTTTCTCTGTTCTTCATTTTTTCTGCTTTTCTTATTATCGATTATAATATTCGCTTGAGATTGCTAAATCATTTTTTAATTTTATTAATTTTTGTCTGTCTTGGTTTTTTCTTAATGTTTATGATCTTTTTTATAGTTCCTGAAAATACTACTTTAATCTCCGTGACTTTTACTTTTGGAGTATCTCAGGATCCGCACTTGGCCATCTTCTATATGTAAATTCACTTCTAAACTAACTCTTTTTATTACAAATTATGTGCTGATGAGCCTATACCTTTAATACTTTTTCACCATCTACTTAACCTAAATATCGTTTGTCATTATTTATCTTTGGGTCTTTCCACTATTTATCTTTGTATCTTAAACTACACTATTCTAAATTTATTTGAACTAATATGTTGAACACGTCCAAAATTTTGTTTTTGGTTGATTAGCGAATGGAATCTTAAATAATAATTGGATTTCCATGTTTTCTCCTAATACAAAAATTTTTTTACATAACTGTTCTTCTTGATTTGCACGGTTTAGTCCTACAAACGACACGCATGGCACTACATTTCATGTGCTATTATCAAGATATTAGTTATTGTTATATATAGTTTTAGTTATTAGATATTAGATATTAGTTATAGTTGGTTATTAGATTTTTTTCACGAACTAACGAGCTCAGCTCGTCTTGAGCGTCTGACAAGTTATTATAACTTAAATGTAATAATTTGTTTAGATGTTTTTGTAATTTTACCCTTCAGGACATATTCGTCATCGGCGGTTATGCAAGCATCCCTAATTTTAAGAGCCGGCTCGAGAAAGAATTGCTGGAAATACGACCCTTTGAAAGTAAATTCAAAGTTAGAATGGCTGCTAATCCCGTCCTTGACGCTTGGAAAGGCGCCCGTTTATGGTCCATAAATTCTGAAAATTTGCGTAGATATTCAACCAATCGGAAAGATTACTATGAATTTGGAGGCGATTACCTAAAAACATGTTGTATTTCGAACAGAACATCTAACGACTTTTTAAAAAATCAGATGTTATGACAGTGCTAACGTTATAAAGATTAAAACATTTACATCTTGTAACTAGTTCATTGGATGTTATAATAGGCCGGTTTTTTAATAATGAATAACGTCTTTCAAACGTGAAAATTTAGTTTACTGATGAATGACGCAGCGAGCTCTGGAAAGCTCGCTGTTTCTAACGACAGGACGTTTGAGGGTAATCAATCATCATTATTATGAGTACTAACAATGCGCTCCTGTAAGCATCTCAAAAGCTGAAACCAAAAAGTTAATGAAGTTATAAAACGATGTTAAAATAGGAAAGCTATCTTAAAAAATACAAGTTTAATACTTAAATGGACTCTTTTTCTTGTCTTTATAACTTCATTTGATAATTATATCGAATAAACGACGCCCACAGAACAGCTTAATTCGGTGTACGACGCTATCATTAGTGTTGAATTTATGTAGTGGAAATGACAGGCATGATTAAGCTCGTATTTTGTTATTGTTATCTTATATTAATTAATATATATGGCATATACATAGCATAGATATGTATATTGTATATTGGCCGTCGTTATTTTCATAATTGTTGGAATTATTTTATTAGTTATTGTTCTCTTTGGTTATAATTTTTTGGATGGAAGATAAGTTATTGAGACAGACAGTAGGCGAATTCATTTCTATCAAACAAATCTTTTTTGAATATTCAATCTTTTGTTCAATTTCAGATGTTTTAATGGCTACGATGACCAAAACAAAGTTTCCGCTTATATTAATCGATAATTATTGTTCTGAAAAGGTTAAAGGTCTATTACACTCTTCCTAGGTTCAGAGAAATCGACAACACAAACACACACATCTTAGTAGATGAATACGTGCTTAAACTAAAGACGCATTACCTGCGAACCATGTGACGGGCGGGAATCTTTTTGTAATTCGTTTGAATCAAACCCTGTCAGTGTGCGCACTTCGAAACAGCAACCATCACGCCGCCCAAAACATAAATAATTCTAACAATGATGAAAATATCGATTCCAAATAACGATGAAAATAACCTATAGAAGTTAAAAAACTGATGATTTGAATAAACTAAAGTTAAATCTGCAGTGCTGTGGTTATTCAGCTTTTAAAATGACTTAAACGTAAACCATACCATTAATTTTGTCCAAATGTCGAACAATCCAACACACTAGGCTTGCGTTTGCTACATCATAAAAAATTTTTGAAAAAAAGCCTTAACGTGTATATATCACATATATAAGCAATATATATGTCCAACATGTTATACACTATATACATATGTTATACACTCGAGAATGAATTGGAAAACTATATTATACTAACGTTAATAAAATAAATAATGACGACAAAAATTTGGTTCGAATATTGAAAGATGTAATAAAAAACTATTCGACGCAAGAAATTCAATAGATTTCATAAATTACTGCATATATATATATATATTTTTATATTTATATATATATATATAAATATTCAGAGAAATTGAATATATATTTTTTTTATTTTAACAATTTATTAGCTTTCCATAAATATTTATCAAGTCGAAGTTGCTACATAAGACCAGTTTCCTAAAACCCTTGTTTACATTGTGCAAATTTTTGAAAGTTTGTTTTTCCATTATTTTAATGCTTATTATATTTTAAAATGGAAGACGATAAAAATAATAAATAAACGTTCCCCTTTGGTTTTTATCAAAAAAGTTTTGGTCAAGGATTATACGGGTTTGGTTCCCATGACAAAATTGATGGTGAAAAAAAAAGAAAAATTTTCAACATTTTTATAACACCCGTAGGGCATACCACCCCTTCCAAATTCATTGAAGAGTTGAGAAGTTCAAATTGTTTCGAACAGTTGTCCTTTCAAGGCTGCCATGAGTTTTACTTTAGGTATATATTGTTTTTAATTCTTATTTGTTGTCAATCATTATTGGGGAAATTCACTTTTTACAAAATGAAAATTTTCAGGCGGGGCCATGGGAGCGGCTTTGGAATTGTTCACAGCAGAATTTGATCCTAACATCACCGTTTCTGAAACACCGACAAGAAATTAGTATGGAAAGAAATGAAGTTAAGAACTGTATCATATGCTAAAAACTTTGCTGTCATTGGTTTTTTATTCGCTGGAACTGAATGCGTTATAGAATCAGTAAGTTTTTAAAATTTAAAGTAAACTCTTTTTTCATATTTGATCTCTGAAATGTTTGACACTCTGCAACATTTTTTCATTCAGTGAGCAACTTTATTTGAAAAATTGTTTCTGTAACAAACAAACACACAACAAACAAACCATTGAAATATAATCCTCTATCGAATCTGATGTGTGAGCCATGTAGGGGGTTAAGAAACCGTATGTCACTATATCTTCGTCCTACCTCAGGATAACTGGGTCTCTGGACACTAAACGAAGATTGATTGATGTCAGTATATCTTCCAGTTGCTGACAGCAGAAGTTGCATCTGTTGATATACTGGTGCCGCTTCATTGCCATTCTTGTTCCATTGTTTCCATTTCTCGATTACCTGCTGCCTTATTTGAATATCTCACATGTGTTCATGTCAGATATGCTTATTATTCTTTATGGTGCCAATTAAACATTCTTTGAGGAGAATATTTTTAAATACTAAATTACCTACCTCTTACAGATTACAGATATAAAAAAGTAATGTGCCTGTGTGTGTTGTGTGAGTGAGTGTGTGTGTTGTGTGAGTGAGTGAGTGTGTGTGTTTGTGTGTGTGTTTGAAAAATGTTGTATGTGCTTTTTCTTGCTTGTTGACTATGAAGGATAGTTGTCTGTAGAGAGTGATTCAATAATTTTAATTTGAAAAATTTGCATGCTGAAGGATTGGTAGTTAAAATGTCTCTATTAATTGTTATGCTGGTTGTTAAGATTATTTAGGCATTGTCAGTGGCTGTCAGTGGCGCCAAGGGTTAGTTTTAGTCCTGCCAAAATATTTGGTATGCTGTGTAAAAAGTCACCTGGATGGCGTTTAAATGGTTTACAAGTTTAGGATCAAAGTTTTTCAGAATAAAAAATAAAATAAATAAATATTTAGAAAAAATATAATGCAACATATAATGCTTACAATGCTGTGGAATTTTTAAATTGATATATGTAATGTATGTAGTATGTATGTTGTATTTAATGTGTGTTTTTGTGTAACTTAATTTTATCAAGTAGAAGCTCGTTATTTTGTTCTCTTAACACAATTTATAAATGTCTACTGGATTGCAGCTTACAATGCTTTCGTGCTGTAAGTTTCATTTTAAAATTTGTGCAAACAACGACATGTGCTGAAATAAGTTATCTCCTCTTCTTGGCATATTGTCCAAAACTTTGTTTTTTTCATCCTGAATTTATACTTGTTTTGTAATTTTCAGCATCTATTCTGCCACACAATTTTTTGTAATTAGTATACATTTTGTGTCAATGGTCATGGTTCTTAGTTACAAGAAAATAAAGAAACTTGGTTATCTAATGTGACTATCCTGCAATAAAAATACAGATGCAGCTGACGACAAATATTCACATTGATGCTAATGGTAATGTCAATTTTCTAAATATTGGGCTGATAGAAAAATTTTCTAATGCTTTTTTTTATAACTTAAATTATTACGTCATTTAGCTGGTATTCAGTCATATGTTTAAAATTTATTTCATCAAACAGTATCGAGGAAAGACTGAATTGATAAATGGAACGGCGTCAGGCGCAATTGTTGGTGGGCTATTAGGCCTGAGAGGTAGTCTACTACTTATTTTTTTTTTTTATTAAATTCAATGGTTTGCTAAGTTGCTACCTGTGACTCTTCCATTCCTTTCAATAGCTAATTGAATTTAATGAAGATGCATTCATTTGCCATATCAATTTAGCTCAGACTCATTAAATTATATTCTAATGATTCAAACTTTCAGTCTTGTCTGAACTGTTTATTTGTGAAAGACCTGCTGTTACCATTCAAACGCTATTAAGACACTGGAATGCACCAATCCTCTCAAATTTTTTTTGGTCAAAGCATCTTTGCCACTTCTTTCTTTCTACATGTTGACAACCAAACTCCTTAATGCACCGCCCTCAATAATTTATTAAAGTTCAACTTGTCCAAGTTTTCTCATGCTTCACGAACTCTGTTTTATCCACCTTTAGTTATACACCAATTATTTTCAAGAGATGCCAACATGAATTTAGAATAATTTCTTGTCTAAATTTACTGATAAATAAACAAATATATATATATATATATATATATGTGTGTGTGTCTGCGTGTGTGTGTGTTGGTGCTTGCGTGCGTGAGATAGTTTGTTATTTGATGATAATATCTCATTTTAAATTAAACGTTTTCTCAAATATTTCAGCTGGCATGAAAGCTGGAGTCTTCGGAGCCATCGGTTTTGCAGCATTTTCGACAGCAATAGACTATTATTTTAGACACTAAGTTATTTTAAATTTTGATTTTTTTAAATAAATGTTATAAAAAATACTATGTTGAATTGAATTTGTTAACAACGAAAATGACACGTATTGGAAAAATATACAGCGATGGTATATGGTGGTGAAACTTGGGTGTTGAGGAGAGAGGAGGAAAGTGTACTGCAGAGGGCTGAAAGAGCTATGGTGAGGATGATGTGTGGGGTTAAAGTGAAGGATAGGAGGAGTAGTACAGAGCTGATGTCGATGATGGGACTGAATGAGGACATTGTGACATTGATAAGGAGATCGATATTGCGGTGGTATGGACATGTGTTAAGAAGGGATGAAAGGGTCGAGATTAGGCGAGCGTTGGAGTTCGAGGTTGAAGGAGTGATAGGAAGGGGTTGTCCACGATTGGGATGGAAAGAGCAGGTGGAGAAGGACATAGTGAAAGCGGGGTTGCGTGTTAGTGAGGCGAGTGACAGATGTGAATGGCGTCGAGGGGTATTTCGGTTTCATCATAGGTAGTCAAACAACCCCCGATCTCGGGAAAAATGTCGTCTAAACGTGTGTTGTTGCTGTATATATATATATATATATATATATATATATATATATATATGGGATGCACCGGATTCAGGTTTTTCAAATCCGGCCGGGGTCGGACTTGGCCGGATTTAAAAACCGGCCGGAGCCGGGGCCAGATTTTAGTTACCATTTTACATACGTTAGAAAAAATACTCACATTTACGGTTATCTACATGTTGAACATCAAAAAATAACACCAAGCAAATAGTTAATTAATTCAAATATATGAATAAGCTGTGTGATGCGCCAAATTCTGTACACAAAGATCAGCTTATAATTTATGTATAACCCATGTTATAGCATAAAAAAAATTGTCCAGCTCATCTCATAATTAGTGATGTTGTTATTATGTGTCATGTATGCACGTGCACAAATTCTTTTACACAAAGATCAGCTCATGTATGCCTAGCCTAACCTTTAACATACCATGTTCTTAAATTATGCGCTTATGTATCTTTATGTATATATATTATGTAGCTATATGATCCGTCATATACAATTATATAGTATAAACACGTGCACAAGTTCAGCTCATAATTTATGCATAACCCATGTTATAGCACAAAGAAAATTGTCCAGCTCATTTCACAATTAGTGATGTTGTTATTATTTGTCATGTATGCTTAGCTTTTAACTTATTGACATAAAATTAATTGAATTCAATGAAATTTTTTTCTATTTATAACATTTTTTAATGTCGATAGACGCTTAAATCCGGCCACCAAATCGGCCGGATTTGATAAAAAAGCCGGATTTTAGCCGGGGCCGAACTTCGGTGCATCCCTAATATATATATATATATATATAGCGCCTTTGAGGTTTGATGAAAGGGCGCCATATAAATCTACCTAATAATAATAATAATAATATATATATTCATGATTGGAATATACCGTTGAAAGACCAAAAACATTTGTGAATAGTTCGAAATATCTACTGTAAACCGCATTTAAAAAATTATAAATGAGTGGTGAAGATTTATAATATGTGTGGGTGGGATCATCTTCAGGAAACGAATAGAAATGATGACCGTCTTTTTCACTAGACAGATCGACTGTAAATTATTCCTGCTTGATACATCGAATCTCTTAAAATTTTAAACAAACATTTTAAGTTGATAAAGAACAATTTCTCGTTGAAAAAAATTCATGGCTGTACCTGCTTCACGGGAAACTGGTATCTTAGAAATATAAATGCGGACCTCGTGAACTTATATAATTTATTCAAGAGTATAGATTAAAAAACTCGTTTCCAAATAATGCTAATATTTCAATTATTTCAAATAATGTAATGTCAGTGTCTCTTTCATTTGCAGTTTATATCGTTCGTCTTCATATACTCAGTTGCATCAACCTGTCAGCAATTTATTAGTTGTCAACAAATGTTTTACATACAGCTCTCGTCCCATATGGAATGGTTTGCCAACTGCCAACCATCAAACTTTTTAGAAAACGATTAAAGAACTTTTTGTTTATCCAGATCTACGAAACGTCAAAAGTCACTGTTTATCCAAGCGTCCTTGAAGCTATGCATAGGACGCGATATAAATTATTAATATCAATAATAACATGTCTGTCTCTGGGCAGGGTAATGATTTAAATGAACGTACAGATTGTGGATTCGTTTCCATATCTCGGCTCCCAAATACACTCGTCAGGCAGTAGTGACACTGAAATTTCACGTCGAATCATCATTGTCCGCGCGTGCATGAGGTCCCTGGATCGCGGTATATGGCACTCGGGCATTTCGGTGACGACCAAGTTTGGTTGTATAACGCATTTCATCCCCGTGCTGCTCTATGGATGCGAGGCGTGGTCAACTACTGGCGCTCATTTAAAGAGGCTATTTTCTAATCTTATATTCTTGTATCTTCTGGGCGTAGCCGTTTCTTTGAATTCAATGAAATGGAAAAATGTCTTGATCCTGAAGATATGAAATAAAGCACAGATGACACAGAGGTTGCAACACTTTTCTTGTTTTAAAGTGCTCATAACCACAAGTTCTTTCTCATCAGTTTTCGGTTTTACTCATTTTTAGCATAGATATATATAACATCCATAGTTTTTAACCTGTGTTTTCAGATTTTTTTTCTGTGAGCGATGAAATGGCGTTTATTTAAAAGTGAATTATTTCAGGAGATATTAATCTTTTCTTATACTATAAATTTTGAGTTTGTCTGGTTTAAAAAGGGATTGATAAAAAATTAGAAATAAATAATGTTTGCTAGCGCAATAGTTGCAAAAGTTTTGCAAAGGTTCGTTTTTTCATGTTTTTTTGTTGATAGCTGCTACTCATTAATGATTAAATTTAGTTTAAGACAGGTTTAGAAAGGTTTTACATTTTACTTAGACATTTAGAGATTAGAATCTAATCTCTTAACCTTAAGGCTTAAGTAAGTCTGATACTAATGCTAATCTACTAGATTAGCATTAGTATCAGACTTACTTAAGCCTTTAGGTTAAGAGTTTATTTTTATTATTAATGGCTCTTTATGTGTTTTATGATATTAATACTTTTTTTTAGTTTTAACTAAAGTTTTTTAAGTTTTAATTTTAATTCTACCAAATTAGAACCTTTCTTGATCTACTAACTAACTACTAACAACAATCATCATCAATCAGAACCTGCTCTTTGTAGTGCTGTAATACTATAGTAAAATGTAACGTAATTTATATTGTTTATTATATCATTACCGCTACATTACAATTATTGTAATGTAATCATAATGGTAATTATTAATTAATCTATATGAATCTCTACCTGTTTACTAAGAAGAAAGCAAATTTATTTAAGAGTATACAGTTTATATTCTTAAATAAATTTGCTTTCTTCTTAGGAATAGTATACACTATAAGACTATAACTATACATACATCATACAGTATTAAAAAACTTTAAATATTTATTACAAATGTCCAAAAAGTTTCAAATATTAAAAATATTTCAATTATAATTAAATAATTTGATGTCAATGTTGCTTTCACTTGCAGTTTATATTAGTAGGAATGCAACATAGGTCAATGCCAGTTTTAAACAAAATATGACAATATTTTATAATCTTACTCTATATATCTGTATAATGTGGTGCTTGCGAGTGTGTCAGAAAGTGTGTCTGCTTCTACAGTCTACTCTATGTACCTACATCTAGTTAAGTTTTTTATGTTCCTCGCTCACACTGAAATTTGAAATAGCCGGGAAATGAAAAATTACACCAGATGCATCATGCATGGAATGTAATGAAAGTATCTAGCTAATTACTAAATGAAATGAAAAGTTTCATGTTTCAAGTGAAAATTATAAGATAAATCTCTTTAGTCTTTATCATGCATGTTTTTGCATTCTCGGGGTTTCATGCTTTTGAAAACATGTCACTGATGTCTATGAAGCATATAGCATTGTTTATTTTACAGTTTTATATCTTTTTTATAGAGTATAAAATTAATAAAATTATCTAATCAAGTCTACAAATATTGTAAGTATCTTTGAAATGAACATTGGTATATAAATAAATTAATAGTTGATTTTTAAAGTTTTTGTTATCGACATCTATTCATTCGAAAATGTTTTTATATATTCTGGCTAACTAATTCACTATTTGGTGTTTCCTGATTATAACTGTCTGCAAAGCCAAAAGCACTAGCTATTGGTCTATAATCAGTAGAGCCAGTTTGATTTTGATCCAGTTGAAAATTAACTTTTAGCTGTTTTTTTTCAATGCTGAAAAATTTTTTTATAAAATAAAAGATAATTTTGTCATTTTGAGAAGACATTTTAATTGTTTTGCTGTTGTTAACTAAATGTATGTAAAATAAAATCATAACAACTATTTCAAAATAACATCTTATTATATTTCAAGAATAAAAGCCTAGATGTTCAAATATTGTTTAGAACAGCATTTTATTTTAACTGAAGCTTAAGTGAATGTTGAAACAAAATCTGGCCCAAATCTAAAATGCCTCCCACTTTTAGCCATTTTATTTTAACTGAAGCTTAAGTGAATGTTGAAACAAAATCTGGCCCAAATCTAAAATGCCTCCCACTTTTAGCCAGAGCCGAATGTGGGAAATGGCCAAAGTTAACCTAGAGCCTAATTCTAATCCAGGTCTAATATAAGTAACACATGTGTTTGTAAGATTTGTTTACTAATCTACTTTCCATAAACAACAGTATGATTTTGTTTGATATCTTTATCAGTGTTGTAGACTTTTCAATTTTAGTTCAAGTGTATAAATTCAAACATAAAAGTTGAAGACCTTTCTTTTGTTTATTTTGTAACATTTTTTTCAAATGTTATAATGAATTACAATTTTTTATTTTGTTTCATTTATAAAATGGTAAATATGTTTTAATATTTCAGCAAGTTTTCAGTTACACACACTCTGTTTGATTTCTATGAAGTTGAAAAATTATCTCAAAGATATAAAAATCATAGTGATGATTCATCAGAAATAGTAATGTCTCTGTTTTTTGGTATTAATTAATAATTTTATTTAATGTTGTGAAGGATTTTATCTTTTACAGCTGAAAATTTTAGAAGAGAAGGTAGATTCTTTAACTCCTACAAATGAGGAACTTTCATGCTTAAAAAATTTTCAAACTAAAGTCAAACAGTTGATTTCTACATATATTCATGAACAAAAGTTGTTTGGTACCCAGGTAAAAAAAATTTAATTACTTTTCTATTCAGTTTATGAAAATAATGCACAGATATTAATTATTTTCCTAAAGAAAGTTGTTGAAGCAGTTGATATTGGATCATTCAAAATGGCAAACTTATTAAAAGGTCACATGACTTTTGATGTCATGTGCATTTTTTCAGGACCTATCTCATTGGAAGAGAATCAAAGTTTTGCTGATCAAGTAAAATGTGATTTAATTACAGAAGACCTTAAAGATTATCAAAGTCATACCTCTGATGAACATCCCCATGTGAATGTAATCACTGAAGTCCATTCAAATTGCAATGTTATGTTGTGGCCTGCTGCACGATGTCTCGACAGATATGATGAAGATGTCCATAGTTAGTTGTTAAAATATTATTATTTCTCTTTTCATATACTTGCTCTCTGTCGTATTTCATGTGAGTTTTAGCCAATTTTTTGTGCACCTAGAGACTGAAATCGTTGGGTGAAGACAACACTGGTTTCACCACCAAAAACGTTTAACCACCAAATGAACCTCACCGAACGAATTCTGTTAACCACAAACATTAATCACCAAAACTTCACCAAATAAACTTGTTATCACCAAAACTTTACCAAGGCGTACCGTATAAACTTTTAAACAACTATTCAAATTTACACCCAATTCACTGTTGACGTGGGCTTTATACCTTCGCATATACATTACCATTGGCTGTAACAATTAGCAAACCAGCCAATTTTTTAGCCATTTACTTATCTATTGCTGGATACCAACTTGTCGTTCAACACCCATCGATTATCTAACATTAATTAACCAGCACTGAAGACCATGACAAATTTAGACCATTCTTATAATAACTAAAAGTCTTATTTTCTATCACTTTTGTTTAGAAATGAATTGGTTTCTATTTTATGTTTTTGTCTGCAGAAACGTTCATTTATCTCTGTTAAAACTTATCTTCATTTCCTTTTTTATGTAAAATGACTGAGCTGGTTCACCCAGCTCAGTGTTTCTTTTTTTAGTTAGCATAGTACTTTTTTATTCACTATTTAACGTAATAGCATTTTTAAAAATTATAACTTTCATTAATATATTAATTTTTTTATATTCAGTTTCTCAGAATTTACTTAAGAATAACTTAATGGCCTTAAAACATGTATCGTGGTTTAGTGAATATGCCATCAATGAAACAGTTATTGCTCAGATGATCCTTTTACTGAAAGATATGAAAAAGAAATTTAATGGTTTTAAACCCCTGAACCCATGGCTATTATGTTTATTGGTTGGTTACAGAGTTCTTATTTGTTATTTATTTTATTTAGACTTATAGAGCCTGTATCTAGCACGTCATCATGTTGACATCACAATCCTTCTTGCATATTGCTCTTCATTCATTTAGTTGCACTTCAACTTTTGTTGCCCTACTGCAACAATGGCTCACATGGTGTAACGCACGCACGCACAAGCACCACATAGTATAAACGAGACCCATATCATTTGAGACACAGCAGTTTTACTGTCAGAGTTAACTTGTAACTGATGTTTCAAACTTATTTTCAAGGACACGGCCTCATGGTTATTTAAAATGGTTATTGCAAGGAAAAGTTTAACTTTATTTGTTCCTGTAGATTCATTTAAATGTAAGAGTGACTCTACATCTGTTGCTTTTCATATTTTGCTTGAGAACCTGCAGAATTGAGTTATAATATACTTATTATATTATTATATATATTATTATGCTTATTTTTGTCAAAGAAAATATACCATTATCATTCAGCTTACATTTATAAAATTTATAAATCAACCCCAAAATAATTAAATATTAAAAAAACTCAATTTCTTTTCTATGTTTATTTCTTAATCAGGCACATTATAGCGTCACCAATAACTATGACAGAAAAACTTTGACCTTGGATGCAGCTTTTAAGTTAGCTCATTGTCTTTTTTTCTCAATTTTAGTCTATGTCGTAAATAACGAATTAAATTATTTGGTCGACAGGAGATGCTTGAAATTGTTATCAGCAGGTTTATTGCTGCCCCATTCAGTTGGCATTGTTGATCCGTGTGATGATAAAGTAGGGAGATCTCACATGTATATGTCTCTCCACCAACAAGTTTGTTTCATTGACACGTTCATTACATTTTGTTCATTTTCAGTCTTAAAAGGAATTTATTTCTTTTCCAAAAAGTAACAAATAAATTTTGTATTGGTCATCCTGGCACTTGCAACTGTGTAAGCAGTTCAAGCTTAATAAAATCTAGTGAAACACTAGTTATTGGCGTATGGGAACCCGCAATATCGAAGCAGGCAAGGATTTTTACGTATCTTCAAAAGTCCTGAAATTGAAAGTCATTTTTTTCAAGTCCCTAGAAAGTTTTAGAATTCGATTTTTGTCATGAAGTCATAGAATGTTATTTTAAGGTAATGACATAGTTTTGTGACGCACCGTGAAATTTTCACTGATCGTAACAACGCGCTGCTAGCTTAGTATGCAATTTCTTGATTTTTGTTTGACATGCCACAATTGGATAAAAACTATTACAAAAAAAATTCAATCATAAAACTGCCGTTAATCCATGCTTTGCAAGGAGTTTTGTGTTTTTTTTTGAACTAAGAAAAAATTAAAGAAAATCGTGAACTTCTAAAAGAATTTTTAGCCTGTTAATTCCATTGTAATTAAGTTGGCACCGAGGATGCTGATGTAATCTTGATGGAATGTGATGAACTTTATTTTTTGAAACCAGAAGCCCAAAGGGGTTTTTGTGGCGTGAAAGCATAGAAGTAAAATAGTGCATGAAACTGCAATTAAAATAAATAAAACGTTACAAAATTAAAAAGAATATTGTAATGATGTAATTATATTGTAATGAATTTTGTAATGTATTAAATACTGTAATGATGACCAAGTTTCAGGGTAGTTTGGTAGTATTGATACAATTCAAATAAGTAAGTTTATTAACAGTAATTTCAGGATATTTTTTAAAGTGACATTGGCAGAAATCTGAACGTGTTTTTAGATAATTCTGATTCAGTTTTAAACCACAACTATGCAAAAATTTTGCGCAGTTGCCTTCTATCATCTATACAAGAGACCAACAAGTTGGATGGATTGCTATATGGTACAATGGGTAACAACGAACATTTTTAATAGATTGTGGAAAATATCGAATTACTTTTGGGTTTTTTTTTGTGATAAGTCATTTGCGGAAAGAGTGATTTTTACCAATATATAGATTGACGTGAAAATATGATTTAAAACACGAAGGGCAGCTTGTTATTACATTCAGCATTTGGGAATTATTTAAAATATTGATCCCACTAATTCAAATTTAATAATTTTGGTATCCACCGCTCAAATGGCGAGATGTTCGGCTACTGACGTTGTCGAACATCTCAAAATGATCAATTGTAAACGCCTTATTTTGCTACCTGGCCTTCAAGAAAAGAGATAATGAAGTCAAACCTAACAACTCCCAGCCGTCAACATCTTTTAGACTGTGTTGATGCTAAATCATTTATCAGGGGGATGCCATCATTCGTCAACAACCAACCATCAAACTTTTTAGGAAATGATTAATGAACTTTTTGTTTATCCTGGCCTACGGAAACGTCAAAAGTCAGAGTGCCTTTGAAAGGGCGCTATACGACTCTCTGATGATAATAATAATAAAATATTTATATCTGAATGTAGCAAAATTTTTGCAAACTTTGAAATAATTGTTAAGTTTCATAGTTGCATATTACACTGCAGTTTAAAGTAATAAATCTACTAATTCATATACATTTGTATTTAGGACTACCTGTGTGCCACAGCCCAAACATTATTAAGGCTGTACAATGCATTTGGTATTGAAAAAATTCTTAACTTTACGGAATTGGATATACAAAGTTTGTACCTGTTTTATTTCACAATAGCAATTCGAGCTTTATCAAACTGTTGAGAAAATTTTCATCAGCTTTTGGAATTATTTTTCGAAAATTTTTGTGGATTTAAGTTCAGAAAATAAATAACTAATCAATCTTACTCCTTTTCCCAATAGTTGATAGCTTAAGCAAGATTTGAAATATTTTATTCACAAACATTGTAAAAGATTTTTTCATGCATTTCATCTTTTTAATTTATTTATTTAAAGCAGCTCTTTTCAAACCAGATTTTTGTTAATTGCATGAGTCTTATAAAAACTGCAACCTAATATGTAGAAAACGCATACAAAAATAAAATTATATAATGTCTGTTGAGGAAAGGCTGTAGTCTTCAAGCCTAAGTTAACCGTGGAGAAATCAGCAAAAACCAGTTTTTTAATCCTATTGAGTCTTTTTAAATATTTTAATATTCATTGTAATATGTTCAAAGTTTGATTACAAATAGAAATTGACAATTGAATAAATCACTAATATTTTTCCATTTCAGAAAAATTGCTTGCTGACGATTTTGAATCGAATCTGTGTGCAACCATCAAAACCAATTGACCCTGTTGTATCTTAATAGCCAATTGATGAATTACTTCTAATCACATTTTTATCAAGTTACAACTTTTGTCACATTTAATGTTTATTTAATATAAAACAAATTTTTTATTCCAACCAAGAATTCCACAGTAAATAAATTTAAAATACAAAAAAGAATTGACATCATCAAGATTACTTAAGAACTTTTAAGAACTGAAATAAAAGTCTTTAACAAATTGGAAAGTTGGACAAAGAAACTTTTCAGCGTTGTAATAAAATAACTATAAATACACATTCGCACAATTTATAAAAGTTACACAAGACCTGTTATATTCATCAGTTAATTAGTTTTATGAGAATAAGTTATATAAACACATTTTGAGATGAAACCAGTAGGAAGATGACAGACTTGATTTACTACAAATCGACTTTCTTGGCTTTGATTTTTTTCCCATCTCGTGTGTATTTGGTCAAAGGATCTGTTGATTCTTTTGCCAAATATTTTATGAAGTCATCAACTTCTCTGCCACCCTGTTAATGAACATTTGATTCAATGAACAATTCAACAAACATTTACACTTTCAAAATGCATTTTGTTTACAATACTGTACAAGTTTAATGTACGTTTTAACTTGCAAACAAACTCTATTTAAAAATATTTTTACATTCTAAAAATAAAAAATTATAAGTAAATAATCTATGAGCAAATAGACTTTTGCTCTTAACTACTTTAATAATCACCTTAACAGTGACTTTTTAATCCTATTTTATTTCACGTGAAAAATTTATTTTACACCAAAGTCGTTATTTTTTGATATTTTAGTAATTCTTACATTTCTATCTACAAATCCTTAAAATATGCTGAGCTCTACTGAATATTATAAATGGCACAAATTTTTTTGATAAACATAGCAGTTTTTTTTATATAATTATATTTTCTGTTGATTTTATATGACAAACAATAACACACACACATACATACATACATACACATATATATATATATATATATATATATATATATATATATATATATATATATATGTGTGTGTGTGTGTGTGTGTGTGTGTATTCATGTATACTCTAAATGTACACATAAAACAAATGTGTTAAAGTTTTTACCTCATATCTTTTTGGAAACTTTTTGGAATTTTTGGGAGCAAAGTAAATGGTTGGAAAACTGTTAATTAAACAAACAAACAAAATAAATAATAAATAAATAATTATAACACATTAGGAATAGGATTATGTAAGAACACGAACCCTTTAACATCATATGGTGCTGGTACATCGTTGGCAGTAGCATCCATTTTAGCAATCACTATGTCCTCTTCCTCAGCTAACTGTTATACATCAAAAACAGATATTTAGTCAGCTAGAGGTAAATATAATTTAAGATTTTTCTAAGATGACAAAGATATGTGGGAATAGGCACACACGGGCATTATATAAAAACAATTATATTCTAATTTAAGATTAAAGTTGAGATATTGAGAAAAAAGTTTATAAACTAAATACAAATTTTTCTATTGCATTTCTGAAAAACTGAAATCAAAACTTCTCAACCTGTGACACCTTGTGACAATTTTATTACTTCTAATTTTGTAAACATTTTGCAATAACCACTTGTGCGATGCGTATTTAGTCTTGCTGATGCAATATTTTGTACATAAACTTATAGGATAACGGATATGTAATAATTTGGTTAACAGATCATTCAACTTTGATCCATAATAATGATGCAATATTTTGTACATAAACTTATAGGATAACGGATATGTAATAATTTGGTTAACAGATCATTCAACTTTGATCCATAATAAAAATGGACAATCAAATAACAAAGCTCACAAGTTGGTTAACAACACACTCTGTCAATAATTGACGAGTGACAATACAAATCATTAATAAAAAATATAGGATATTACACAAGTAATACAAATTATTAAGATTGAACCTTTTGTGCCAGCTCTTCATATTTTGGGGCAAGAGATTTACAATGACCACACCAAGGAGCATAGAATTCAATCAGAACATCCTTTGTTTCGTCATTCACAATCTTGTCGAATTCCTCTGCCACAACAACCTACATAAGGTTTTCATTCTACTTTTGATCATACCAGATTAACAAGAGACAAATATTATACTTATTAGTTTAACTAAATAGCTCAAAAAAGTGCAATTATTTTGACAGTTGTGCAATAATGATGAAGTAGAAATGAAATGAGTAGTATTCATTACATTTACTCAAATATATCCAACTAACAATTTTAATATTTCTTTGACTCCAAATACTTTTCTGAACTCAGGTATTTTTTTATTTTGAGTAATTTTTTCATTCAATAGCCTTCTGAATTCAACCACATTTAAAATTTACACACAAACAAAACCAAATAAAATAAGTTTAATTCAGATATCATTGCTTATGAAATACTGTGCATATACAAACATAAATAGAAACGTTACTTTGACAGGTCCATCATTTGATGTAGGTACAGCTTCAGATTTCAAATATGGTTTTAGATTTCCCTCTAAAAAGTCATTTGCAAACTTTTCCAAAGCATCAACACTGATCAACAAGTTAATTTCAACTTTGTTAAAACTTGTAACAGTGATCAAATTTTACAAAATCAGTAAAACATTTGAAAATACTAATTCTGAATTATTTACAAAACACTAATTAATTTCTTAAGTTTAAATTTTAAATAAAAATCTCAACTTTTTAATAAACATAAATTAAAACAAAAGAGCCATTTGTAACTATAAAAAATGACAACCAAATTCACTTTTTTGACCTCATAAAATAAGAATCCCAACTAAAAATGGACATTGATTTGTGAAATTGAGCAGCATAACTTATTAAATAAATAATTTGATTAATTTCTTCAAACAAAAATTTGTATTAGGTCATATGGAACAAGAGCAACTGAATGTGTTTTCTGAGCCATGCAGACATGATGGTTCAAGGTTGAAAGTTTTAAAAAATTGTGCCACCAAATGTTTCAGCATCAAAATCAAATGAATAGTGAGGAAATTATTTAATATCAATTTAACACAGACTAGTTTTCTGTTTGTATATTGGTATATTTAATATACTATAATTAGAAGCACTTGAATTTACCTTCAAACTGAATCTTGAAAAAAAAACTATACCTAAAATCTTCAGTCATAGAGAATTTCTGGTCTTTAGCATTTCTGGCAGCAACTACCAGCTTGTCAGCTGAATAAGTCAAGCCATGTTCAGTAAGCTCGTGGTTAAATTGATCAGCATTCGAAATAGCAAAATGGACATTCTTGCCTTCCTCAGATAACTTTTTGGCTACTTTGATTATTCTGATTGAAATTTAAAAAATGCATCAAAATGAGACCATTAAATAAGTTATTTGTAAAGAAATCAATCTATTAGATGATAGTTTATGATTTATTAATAAAAACATATCATTTTCATTATTTGAACATACAGTGCACTCTATAAAAATGTACATGGTACAATGGAGAAGTAAACCTGTTCCTCCAGTAATTTGTGCCTTTGGGATTTTTCACATAGTCCACATCATAATATACAGTGATCAATGGCCTTTCGAATTGGGCTACATTTCCTGTTGTTCTATGACCTACCATGCCATGTCTTGGTAAAGAAAACAAAGAAAAAATATAACTATTAATTACACTAAAATTGTTAAATTTGCCTAGACAATTTTAGGTTTACACATGTAGTATAAAGCCTACATATATAAAAACCCCCTTTTCATTAAAAAATAAATTGTTTATGCAATGAATGCTGCAAAAAATGGGTAGGTTGGCACAGGATTTTTTTTTAAATATGTTGTGTCAATTCACAATGAAAACATTGGATATCACATATGCTATTTCAGTTCAGTTCATTATGGCAACAAAGTATATTAAATCTGTTTTTTTTTAGTTCATGATAGCAATACTAAGCACACCCACCCAAAACTCAAAATCCACTGCAATAAGGTAAAATGGTTTGTTCTCCTCTATGTATAGAAAAATGATTTTGAGAAATAAAATAAAATTTTGAAACTCTCCCAAAAAGCCTCAAGTAGATATGATGTCTTTAAAAGAAAATTTGAGTGTAACATGCAAAACAATGTTTAATAATCTCTATTTTGAAAAATCACTATTGAAAATAATTTACTAACTAACATGTGTTTTTGTACCCAGTCTTTAAGAGCAAACTGATCCAGAGAACTTCATAAACAAGTTCCGAAGGCTCCATTTTAGAATGCAGGCGAGGAGGTTGGTACATGACAATTTTCCTAAAAAATTTTGATAAATTTTGTAAAAGCAGCTTTGTTGACTTTGTATTGCTTAAATTTAATGCATTACAGAAGTGGTAAACAATTTTTTCAAAGGTTTAACAAATGGGAAATTATAAGATGGAAAAAAAGTAGTACCCTTCATAATTGTAATGAGAAAGAACACTTGGATCAAAAGTGTGTGCAAATCTAAAATTGTCACTTAATGCAGAGGCGAGTTTTTGGAATTGAACATTTTCTTCCGATGATGATGACTTGAAAAACCCTTTAAAATGTTTAGGTTTAATTCAAAAATTTATTTAAAAAAATCAAATAATTTTATTAAAACATCTCAATTTGAGCTACAAAGAACTTGTGCAAATGGTCAAAAAGTTAAGATGATGCAATTAAATGGTTTTGAATGTCTCTAAATTGTAAAAATTATCCAGATGTGGAAAAATTTTGCAGCCATGTTTTTATTAGCTTGAAATAAACTTTTCAAAAAATTTATTAATTCATTTATAAAATGCTAATAAACCAAGATAGACAACCATACATGAATATAATGAAAGTATTTAGCAACTATAGTGCGTAAAGCACTAAGTCATCTTTTAGAGAAAGATGTCTAGAAAATACATAAAAACATTGGTAAGACAGGATCAGTTAGATAATGTTAAAAAATTATATTAGATGGATGAGTCAATTTGTAAATAATAAAGTGGTATCATTCAGTATAACAAATTTAACGGCAATTGTGGAGTTTTACAATGACTCACAGACCTATAACACTTGGATCAAAATTGTCCAAAAATTTCTTCACATCATCCAAAGATTTTAATTCTTTTGAACTGGGTCCAGCTTTTCCTTTCATATATTTGACAATGCCATCTGAAAAAATATATGATCACCTTTACACATTCTAAATTGTAAAACAAATTCTGTAATTGACACTTGAACTTGCTTAAAAATCAAAATCAATAGAATTACAATAAATTCTCAGATACTTTAATTTTTAATGTTTAAAAATAATTAAAATTATTGTTTTTATGTGCTAACAATTATAATATATTGCCGAAAAATCTCATTTTGTAATTGATAAAAATCTGATTCAAATTTTTTATTAATCCATGAAAATCATTCAAAAAATTCATTTACTTATAAAAAATTAAAACCAGAAAAAAGTTCATCTGACACAATATAAAATGAGTTTATTGATTTATTTAACGACATCAAATATGTAATTAATGTAAAACATAAAGTTGTATCCCCTTGTAATGTTTCTATTAGTTTCTATAAATGAGTTTAATATGTCAACTTAAAACTTGAATTGCAAAATTTTATTAAAAAGTTGTATCAAAATTGCTAAAAAACCTTATTTTAAAAATACAATATAATAATAAAAATAATATAATTTCATAATGGTTTTAATTACATTCTAGATAACACAAATTTAAAAATTAAATATAAATAACCAGACACAAAATAATTGATGTGACGTAGCCTTATTCTTTTGTATATTTTATTATAGTATAAACAAACCTATTTAAATTTTAAATTATTTATTTACAGAATTAAAGAATTTAATTAAGTTGTGAAATGCTATTTTTTCTTGTAGAAATGGTTTCTTACTAGTTATTAATAAAATTTGTATATCAACAGTGCAATAGTCAGTAATTAAAATAACCTGCATCTCTTGGTCCTTCATAATCAAAAGCAAATTCACCCTGCTTGAAAACTTTTAGTGTGGGGTAACCAGAGACACCATGTTTGCTACAGGAATCTTTCCCACCTTCAGTACAGTCAACCTGTAAAAATAATTGTTATAATATAAAAAATTAATAAAACTCATTTTATAAGTTGCTTGTTTCAACAATAGCAAATAATCTACACTTTACAAGATATTTAATTAAATTAATTAATTAATTAATTAATGAGAGATGGATTCAGCCAGAATTTTTTAAGAGATTTTCATTTTATGGTACTAACTTCCACTAGAATGACTGGAGGATCATTTCTTTTTAAAATAGTAGCCGCTCTTTCAAATTCTGGAGCAAGTTTTTTACAGTGGCCACACCTAAAATATTATAAATTTGTTTAATTAACTTGAAATTGAATAACAATAATAATTAAAACAGGTAAAAAAATTTCATATCTTATAATATAAATAATAAGACTTAATTCTTTTTCAATTTTGGACTGTTATGTAATAATAATTACAACACGAATTATTTATTTATTTAAAATTATTGATTCATCATTGAATTTAAAATTTTGTAAAGTGCTATGTACGATTTTTAAAATCCATGACAAATTTGGACAAAACTGACCAAGGTGCAAAAAATTTAACCAAGGCAATTTCATAGCCGTCTAATTTAGCTTTGAATTCACTGTCCGTTAGTAACACCACATCGCCATCCCCCAAAGCATAGGCGGAAAAAAATGCAGCAACAAAGAGCGATTTTAAAATCATTTTTCAGATGAATTAAATCAATACAATCAGCAGACCAAACTAAAAAAATGTACAAAAAACAATTATACGCTTCCGGCGAGTCGATGAATCAAACAAAAATCGCGCAACCTGCGTGTGCTTGCGTGTTGCGGGCACGACGATATAACAGGACGATCAACACTTGCTGTCGTGTTTCCATTGGCTGATACACACGCCACGTGGTTAGAGCTTTAAAAGTAAATAAAATTTCTAATCGTTTTGGTACTGTATTATATGTATATGAATATTCCCATGTACAAAGAATAATAAATATATAATGGTGCACATATATGTATATGTAATGATGATAGGAGAATATTTTTGCAATTGAACCCACCCAAAAGTGCAACTGCAGAACCCGCAGAACCATGACGGTGTTGGGCATATGATGATAAAATTAAATTTATAAACGATAAAAAACCCAACATTTAAATAAAAATAGTTATTTAAATATGCGTATTTGGGATCAAGCGAAAATCAAGTATATGCCAAATCAAGCTGAGCAATGTTGGTAGGAAAACAAATCTGTTTTGTTTATTTCATCACACCATTAGGTAATTTGAGACAGGAAACTTTTGAGAATGATCACCTCTGTCGTGAGCAGCTGCTTGCATGCCTTTTTGACATTGATGCACTACTGAAAAAATATTAAACGTGTGATTATTAGCTTCTGCTTTTTTAAGTGGATTATTTATACCATTGAGATATACCGCAGTGTATTTTTCCTTTCTTACACAGTAAACAACGGTAGTTTAGGGACTGCTTGCATCTTTGAATTGTGATAATTTTGTACCCACATTATTTAGCAGATCATCAGCTCAAAATTGTCAACAGCATAAATCTCAGCAGAAATGAAACCCATTCAAGTGTCTTGCTCCTAGAGAGTTTAATTATAGCGGCTACCCCTTTTTTTTAGCTGGGATGAATCACCAAGTGTCTGATGGAGATCTCTTTCAGGCATCTGATAGTTTTTGTATGTAGGGTATGTATGTATGATAAACAATTGAAGAAGTCTTTAACATGCTTGGCCCAGCAATTGAATACATCCAATTGAATACTTAGGACGTAGGAATTGAGCTTTTACACCGTTAAAGAAAATTTTTGGATTGTTAGTGTTACTCTAAATTTATTTTGTCTTTTTGCTTTGTCATAAATTTTCCTGAAATTATTCTGGACCACCTTTTCAGCAAGGTAATAGCGTTCAAATAATTCCGTTACAGATTGACAGAGATGAAGTATAAACTGCTCAGGGTCTGCCGTCTGCATCGAGGCCACTGATGCCTTCAAAAGGATTGATTCCAACTTGATGATATTTTAAAAGGGAGAAAACGATTGACAAAACAATAGATGATTAATTTCAGAGCAGATGCAAAATTTATGACGTAAATAAGTCTTTTAATATACCTATGCTCAAATTTCATTGGGAACAATCGATGCATTTAAATATAAGAAGTTTGTTAAATAAATCAGATGAACTACATGAATTTTTGTTTTGTTAAAAAATAGCAGCAGGAGTGGAATAAAACATCAAATTTCTTAAAATGCCTGCGACAAAAAACTATCTATTTGGCATATATTAACTGAATGTGAAAAATACGATCAGAAGAAAACTCGGGGTTCTATCAAATGTAGAATTGCTCTTCCAGAATAGAAGTCAGGATTCAGGAAGTCTTGATTTCATTTGTAGAGGAGATAGATTTGATCAACAGATTTGGGAGTTCTCTAGATGTCACAACAAAATAATCAGTTTCTAATGATCCAATGGCGTAAAAATAGCCGCATTGTGCTGAAACGCCGTTAAGCTGCAAAAAAAAAAGAATTTTTGTTTGAATCTACTGTTGTTGTCGTTGTTGTGTTCTTGTCATAACAATTGTTGAAAGATGGTTAAATGAAAAAGCTGAAGATTTGATCAGTAGGAATATAATTATATTATAAAAAATCGCTGTAATAATAAACATGGTGGCGTTGTTGGATTTTATGTTAATAATGATATTTTGCTTAAAATAAATAATCTTAACATGAAATAATAGCAAACTTGAAAGTTTGCTATTAAAAATTTTCAATGATGTCTGTAGCATACCGACCTCCTAACTGTGAGAGTAAGTTGTATTTTGATGAATTGGAATAGGTGTTACAAGTTTTAACATTGCGAATAGATTTATTTACTTAATGAATGATTTGAATTTTGACTTAAACATCAAAAAATGACATCAATAAAATTGAACAAGTTACAATATGTTACAATTTCAAACCCATAATAGTAGTTCCTACAGGAATAAGGGCTGCCAAAAATTCTATCACCGATAATATCTACATTAACAATTCCAGAACCTTTTTACTATGTAGTGTCATTTCGTGTAATCTCTCAAATCCATAGTGGAGGATCCAGGAATTGTTAGAGAGCGCATATGTGCATTGCATTATAGGCTGCTCAATGTGTTAAATATTGTTGAATTCCTATGTCTTTTATTTTTTAGATTTCACGTATATGTATTTTATATTCTATTTTTATGATAATCATATGCACATATTAATTTATTCTAATTATATGGTTTACAATATGTAAAATAAAACTTACTATCTATTAAATACATCGTTTCTATATGTATGGAATGGAATTCACTTTTAAATTTTACAAGAGCAGGTTTTTTTTACTTACCTATTGCCTAATGTGAAACTTTCCGAAAGTTAGATGTTCTTTTGTAAGATAACCGAATCAACAGCCATTAAGAGTTAACATGTCGTCTTATACAATACACGGCGTCAAAGTTCACTTTCCATGTAAAGCATATCCTTCCCAGGTCTCCATGATGGAAAAGGTGCTTGTTTACCTTTACTGCTCTAATCTAAGATTCATTAATTAGGATTTTTTTAAGAAGGCTATTTTTATTTGTTATTTATCAATTCTTTAATAACTTTAATTTAATTTGATCAGTTATCTTAAATTTCTTGAATTTTATAACAAACTTTTTTTACTAAGAAAAATAGATAGAAAAAATTCTTTAATTAGTATTAGTTAGATTAACATTGATTTGAATTTTAATAAAATAAATTCTAAATTCTAAATTTATTAATAATGTATTTTTTTTAATTTTTTAAGAAAAATCTTAAGCTAGAAAAAATTAACTATTTCTAATTTCTTAATATTTTTTTTTCTTTTATTTACCAATTGTCAAATAATAACATAAATAACATTTGCCAAAGAATTTAATAAATCATAAACTTTATGATTTATATTTATTATTATTATTTATTATTATTATTTATGACATAAAGTGGATCTGGAAATGGATATTATTTTACAGTAACATGCATTGGCATTGTTAGAAAAATTTACGGAATGATTATGTAAATAAAATTCAGTGCAAAAATGGTTTCATTTTTTCTGTTTTTTATCTTCCAATTTATTTACATTTTATATACGCATTTCCCAGGATCTGCCACCGAATTTTACTATTTGTTCTTTTTTATCATTCAAGCAATGTGTCTCTTTTGAAATTTACTTATGAATAGAAATTTTGTGACTAAAAGTTTTATTTACTGCTGTAGTTATTGAGTTACAGAAGGATCCTGTCTGAGTCTCTTATGTAATGACAATATTTCTATTATGATGTGAAGTCAATTGTGTTGGTTGTTCAGGGCGAGAAGAGTAAGAGTTGTATATAGTAATACTCTAATAGCAACAGGCCGTCTGGAACTGGATTTGTACGCTCAGTAACTTACATGATGAGGGATGAGATTAGTATAAACAAAAAACAACATCATCTAGGAATAATGCATTAATTTGAGACATTTCTATTTTTTAGCCAGACAAATATGAGCAAGTAGAGAGTGAATGTGCGACTGAAGCAACCACACCGTCTTAAAAGCGTACGTAATTTATGTACATGCTTGCTCTCATAGTTAGTCCATCCCAAAGTTTTTTAATGATCCAGTTAATAAAATAAAAATGAATTGAGTAAAAAATTTGAGACCATTAATAACTTGTTTTGAAAAATTTATTACAAGCTTTTGATTTTTAAAAAGAAGTTTAACAACTTTAATTTAATAGATAATTATTTATTTTCTGTTTACATTTTTACAAAAATTTTTACATTTTGGATAATTCATCGCTAACTTTATTTGCATTCTGTAAAACATGGCTATCATATTGTTATTTTTAGATTATTAAAAGCATTGACAAGAGGCAAAATTGTCTGATTGAAAGTCCAACAGGCAGTGGAAAGAGTCTTGCACTTTTGTGTTCCACTTTGGCATGGCAAAGAAAGCAATATGGTAACTACAACAGTGCGTTATTATTATTATTATTACTGCCATTGTTACTATTATTGCTGTTGTTTACTGGGATCGTATTGACATAGTTTTTGAAATTAGTTTAATTCAACTTTTAACATCTTCACAACCAGCAGTGTTTAGACCTTTAGGAGTATTCATGGTTGACGTGGCTACTTTACAGGAGATCAGATGGAAGGGAGAAGGTACAAGGTTTGTGGGGGCTAAAGGTGAAAGGTATAAGTTGTGGTGGAAGGGGGATGATGGTACGGGAGAAGTTGGTGTGATGGTAAGAAAAGCAATGGTGGAATTGTGGGGGTGATGGTGTTTGGAAAGGTAATAGTGAGGGTAATATCAGGATATGCTCCACAACAAATTAGGAAGGAAGAGGAGAAAGATAGGTTCACTGACTGACCATTTCTTTCCACACAATACCCCACCAAGTTCCCAAGATGATAAAAATCTCGTTAGAAAATTTGAGAAACTCAACTACAAGTTGAATAATGCCGAAAATGCAGTGATCTTTATAAATAATTGTATATATGATGTATAGTATATCTTCATTATATTTTTTAATCCATGAAACAATTGAAATCAAATAGAAGTTTCTCCCAAGACCACATAACATCATTTAATGAGAATTATCAAAGATCATTAGCTGTAACAGATTAGAAATACACCAATATGTGCTTTGTTTTCACTGAATAAGTCTTAATAATGACATCAAATGTCTCAAAAGTTATATTAATTTATATGCCTCTTATCATTTGTCCTGTTACATTGAATATATTATTATTATTATAATTATATTATTATTTTTTATAAAAAATTTTTATGTTATGCTATTGAGTTATATTTATAGCATGTGGACTTATATTTTGTCCACAGTTATGTGTCATATTGCTTTCTATATCCACATATACTACAATACACTATATCATCATCATCACCACTGCTATCAACGATTTCAGGCACAAGTCCTCCTCCTCTTAAGTACAAATCTAGATACTAGATACTAATTATTTGTAATATTCATAATATTTAATTTATAATGTTGATGATATTTCATGTTAACTTTTTTCTTAAACTAGATCAAATTGAAGCTCAAACAGAACCTGTTGAGATAGGTTAGCCTAATTTTACAAACTTTTTAGTTTTTATAAAAATGTTTTGAAAAGGCATATATTGCATTGGAAAGCAATACAGTGATTGAATTTAGAACTGTTTTTAGTTTTAACCAGTCTGATTGTTGAAGAGAGGGGTTGAATTATGTGTGAAATTCATGCAAATGATAAAATGGAAGTATTCTTAATTTCTTAATTATATATCATACACAATTGAATTATTATGGTGTGGAATATATTATTACAGAATCTAAATGTTACAGAAGTCTGTATAAAACTAGGTTTAAACTTGCTGAAATAGAAGTCCTAATAAATTTAAATCTGAATGGCAAACAGGGATAACACATTTGGATTAGGAGCATATATGAAAAAGAAAAAATCTGATGTGGTTGGATAAGAATTTTATATTGGGAACCAGGATTTAGCAAAATGTGGAATCATGATAGGGTAGAATGTGTAATCATTTGTAATATGTAATCATGTGTAATCATGGTGTGGTGGAATGTGGCACCATGGCAGGGCAGAATGCCAAGGAACTGATGGACGACATTCCATAACCTATTCGAGGGGTAATATTGAACTTAATGGGAAGGCTAAGGGTAGAAAGAGATTTTGAAAATTAATAAGAATGGCAAACTTTTTCAGTCTCAATCATTTCTTAAGGAAATAATGATGTCTATTGATTGGCTGGTTGGTTGAATGAACGTACAATAAATGGAAAAATTATTTACGGCATATACATTTGAAAAATATAGCCATCCAGAAAAATATTTTTGAAATTTTCTGATGACAAAATGTGTGTAAATAACAAATTTAGCTGTATTGTTATTGCCATTAGTATTTAATTCATCAATAAAATCTATGTAACAATTTGTTACAGAATTTATTTTATCAACTTATTCCTCATGGATAGCTAGCTAGTTGTTAGTTGTTCATTTTTATTTTAATATTCTCAGGAAAGACCTTTCCACAAAAACCAAACGTGTTCAAATGTGACAGCGGAGCCGAAAATGTAGACGAGGATTTTCAAGATGGAATAGTTAAATTTAATCTTTCCAATGCTGATGTAAGTTTTGTTTTTTGTTTATAAAGTAGAAGACTGCTGGCTAAATAGACCAGCCATTTCAACCATGTCTTGAAAAGATCCGATTAACTGGCTTCTATTGTGCATGATTTTTGAAGATTTTTTAATATTTATTTGATGCGTCTACAATGTTTCATAACCACAACTGCTATTTTCTCAGATTGGCAACATATTTTAAAATGCAAAAACTTTCTAGGCGAACAAAAAACAAACAAAGCAGCTGAAAAAAAAGTCCCATCCCGTTGAATTTGAAGATGAATATAATGACGTTGTTGATAGTGATCATGAGGTGCTTCAAAATTGTGGAGAAGCGGTTGGCAACATGCAAGAATCTAAAAGGTTTGTCCAACTATTATTAATTATGCACTAATTTGTTTTTACAAATGACTATTTTATCACATATTTCATTTCAAAATGGATTGACAAGATTGCAAGGGATGTCGTTCCACTCAGAAATCTGTGACAAGTTAACAATTTGAATAATTTTATTCTGATCCATCCAAATTATAATTTATGAATTACCATAAACATACAGTATATGGGAACCTCGGCAGACCTTTCGTGATGTCCAATCCGATCATAAAGAGAGCTTACTGTAATTAAATTTCATCACTGTTCTTTTCAATTTGAGAAATCTTCAGATCTCTCAATAAACTGAACAAATCATTGCCTAAACACCAACAATAAACGTCTTTGATCTTGCAATGTTCCACTTTTTCTGCAACACAGAGCAACGAGAAAACAATTTCAAGTGAGCCCTTCCACATGCTACTGCATACATTAGAAACCCGCTTCTACCAAATATCAGAGACTGTAGCGATCTTCGGTTCTTCAAATCTTTTTCATATTCTACTTCATGGAAGCTTTTTTAAAAAGCAATTAATTTGAATCCTTAATTTTAAGCCATCTCAGTTGTTATTATTATTATTATTATTCTATAATTATAGTTGAATTTTCTTGCACTGCACTAACACCACAAACACATTTCATATGCATGCATGTATGTGTAAGCACTGCATCAAACTAGCCTGATATATGATAATCCTTGAGTTATGGATAGACAGTCATTGCACAATAACAACACGTGACATGGCACTTCAACTTATTTATCCAACTCGCCTACCAATGATTTATTACTTTGTGTTGCTTTAAAATGTTATTTATAAATAGTTTAAATTTTCAGCGGTATGATTTTACTCATTTCTAATTCAAAGTTTATTGGTCGGCATGCTAAACCAGCCATGAAAATTAATTCCTTTTTAAAAATATGAAAATTAATTCCATTTTGAAAATGTGAAATTGATCATTTTAGCATTACCCATTTTCTAAATTTTTTTACAAATCACGAGTCCAAGTGGATTCGATAACACCTGTTTGCAAAAGAAGATTATTCTTTTAAAAGATTTTGAATCCTTTTTATAGAGATAACCACATTATGACTTAGCTAATTGAGTAAGTATTCCTACATTTTTATTTTCATTTTAACAAAAGGCCCACTGTTTCAAAGATATATTTTGCCACTCGAACCCATAAGCAAATATCTCAAATCATCAGGGAACTCAACAAGACAGTCTATGCAGACGTCAGGTTCGTTATATCTGTTGTGTGACATGATGTGATGCAATATCTGTCGGGTGATATTGTTTGTTTTATATATACTTCTGTTTTTTCGGGGAACATGCATTGAGATTTTTTATTTTATAGATATTCTTATGAATTTTTCCATCAAATATAATTTTTGTATGGGACCTCGGTGACCTGAGCCGTTTTTAGGGATTTTTTCTTTTGAAAGTTTTTGTTTTGGAGGGGAGTATTTGTCCTGGAGTTTTTTACTCAAAGAATTTCGTTAAAAGTGCCAGGTTCAGATTTCCGTCTGGCAGATTTTTACTGGTAGTTTTTGTCCCAGGAGTTTATTTTAAAAATGATTTATATATGCAATTATTTCTAACATCAAGTCACTTGTGTATATAAAAACAATAGCGTATTTAATATGTTTTATGAAAAATAATTCAATTAACGAGGTTTGTTTTACAGCATGACTGTGTTGTCTAGTAGAGAACACACGTGCATCAATGAGCATGTTTGTCAATCAAGAAACAAAAACGAAGAATGCAAAGTCCTGTTAGAAGTAAGAATAATAGTTTACTGTTAGCTGGTGTTGTTAGTACGTCAGTGTTTTTTCAGTTAGGTTGCATTTTATCATAATAATAATAATAATAATAATAATAATAATAATAATAATAATAATAATAATAACAATAACAATAATAATAATAATAACAACAATAATAATAATAACAACAATAATAATAATAATGATTATTATTATTATTTTTATCAGCATTCAAACTCAGTCATTGCAACAACACAGGCTTTTTAATCATTACAACATACTCACAGCTGAATTAAAAAATTTCATCATAATCAAATAATAAAAAATTGTAAAAATATATTTGAGATAATTTTAAATTTTTATCAAATAACATTATAACAGCCAATGATTAAATATAATACATAGGCATCGTCGTGTAGATATTATGATAAGGTGAAAAAATACTTCAACCCAACTCAAATGGCCTGCTATGGTTAGTTTCCATGCTCCTCTGCTTGTCCTTCATGGCTGTTTTATTTGTTGCTTTTGATCTTCCAATTTAAACAACATTCATTTGTGATTCACTCTCTAAACATTTTAAAGTTTTTGATTGCACTCATTCATGTTTCTTCATGTTTTGACTCATCCATTTGATTAATTTTTTATTTATAAATATATATCAATGTTTATTCATCTGTTTTTTTAATTTATGAGACTTGGTTCATCAATTTGTTATCATCAATACTATTGTCGTTTAGTTTCAATTTGGAATATAGATTCATTTTTCAAATGAGGTAGATTCTACCTCATTTGAAAAATGAATTAGTTGTGGATTGGAAAGTTCATAAAATATAAAAAACTATATCTATATTTTTCAATAATTTTTGTCACCATGCCGAAAGTACTTTCATTAAATTGTATATTTGATTAAAAAAATGTATCGTTTTAAATAATTTCTTTTCTTGTTATGTAAGTAAGAAAAGTTTTTCATTTTGATCACTTTTTCCATTTTGGAAAGATAATGCTGCATGGTTGAAAACAAAGTGTTTTTTTTATGTAGATTTATGAATATCGCAACATTTAGACACTTTCCTTGTTATCCTTTTATCTTATCTACCATAAAAATATAACAGCACCAATCAGACCTTCCTAGCTGGTTTCTAATGGCTTCGTTTTTTCTGTCGTCAGTTGATTCCAAACAATTTTATGTTGCATTCCATTTTAAATGCTTCTGTTCTGTTTTTGTCTCTATTTTCCAATGCTTTGCATTCCTTAGTGCAGAAAGAACACATGTTAAACACAGGAGTAGGCCTGATGTAATGCCCTCTTCCAGGAACTGCTCCAACAATTCGTCAACTGCAACAAGACAAACTCAACTTTCGAACTGACAATCTTGTCCAAACACTGTCACAAAAAAATAGGATGCCCTATTAAGGCTATTATTATTATTATTTATGCTCCGCCACATTTTAATTCCAATATGCAGTGTAATATAGCAACTAGTCTTTAACTTCTTTTCATAAATATGTTTCTACTTCTCCTAAATTTTTTCCAAAAAGTATACTTGAAAAGGTAAAAGAAAAGAACCAGAAACTCAGGATATGGACATATTCGCTGAAGGACAGGATAACTGAAACTGCACTAATGAGGGAATGAAATGAAATAAAAAAAAATTCAGTTTGGCAAGAAATGGATAGATGATAGTTCAAAATGGACTTGGACTTGGGAATGTTGAATTCTGTAAATATGGAAAACATGGGATATATAAAAAATTTTCACATTTACTTAAGTTGGGTCATTTTTTGTGTTTGCTATTTACTTACTCTGAAAGTAGAAATAGAAATTTCTAGAAGTATAAATCTACTGTAAGCCACTGTCACAGGTTTGAAATATTTTTTATTGGCGTACCAACGCGTTTTAATAATACCATAATTGTCAAACCTTCTCTTACCGCTGAAAGTCCCTGCTCTGTGTTATGAGTTTGATGGCGCTAGATTAACGTTCATCTTGAAATTCATGAATAATTTTTTTTCATAAAATCTTTTCATGTATTATATTCTATTTATATGGAATGATCAAAAAAATACGAATCATAAGGAATAACAAAAGCCTGGGATATTGAAGATCTTGTAGCGTATGGCCATCAAATCAAAGTAATTTGTTATCAAATTTTTTCTTTTGTACATTTCATTAAATTGCTTTGTTATACTATGAATTAACAAAAGTTTGTTTGATGGTTATTATGCTGATAATTCGCTTGGTTGAGCAATTCGGATTGATATCTGTAACGTATGTACGTACATGAAGTGAATATAAACTTTTGTTGGATAACTCAACTTGAAATTAAAGCTACTTGTTCTATATTACATGGTATAAATTGCAGGGGTGTCCTTACTTTGGCGCTCGCGAGTTGAGGGACAGCAGTGACATCATCTTCTGCCCGTACAACTACCTCATTGATCCACTTATCAGAAAATCGGTAAGTTACGATCGTTATTGTCGTTGCTTTTCATATATTTCTCAACTGGCTTTTGTATACTTTAAATTATTGCGCAACTTTTTGCTTCTTCTCATCCATGCTCACCTGTAATAAATAAATTGAAGTTAGATTAATTTATTATCATATCAGTTCTTGAGTTGAAACGAAATTTTATGCACTCATAAGTTCCGTAGGCAAAAATATTTCTATAATTTGTTTGAACAATTTTTAAATGAAATAAATTGTTTTCCGTTAATAAAAATTTAATTGAACAAAAAAATTTAGTTGGAAATAAGTTTGAAAGGCGACATAGTCATATTGGATGAGGCGCACAACATCGAAGACTCGTCCAGAGAGGCAGCCAGTTTCACACTGTCCAACCAGCAACTGGAAGATTCCATCGAAAATATCAACATTCTCAGTAGGTTGGTTGGGAGGGTATCATAGGTAATGTGGTAGCTACCTACCTACCTACATACCGTGGTTACTTGTGCGTCACTAACGATGTGGTAATCATAATTAGTTTCGTCTGTCAATATTGACGTGCATCTATCTTTGCCAGATTTTAGTTTAGTTTTCGTAATGTAATTTTTTTTATAAGTTAATTGTCAGCATGAGGCATTGTAACTGAGAATGAACTGACCATCCAGTAGATGTGTGACATGCATTGTAACTCAATTAAGCAAGCAGAACAATGATGCTTATGACAACGTTTCTATGTTTATTTTCTTTTGATGGAAATTATTGTTAAATTATATGAAATTTATTTTATTACGCAATTTTAGTAATAATTTTTTTTACAACGGTTTTTTTTTATGATTGTAGCTTCAAATCACAGATGTGACAAGTTGGAAGACCATTCGAAGTTGAAGGAAATGGTTAGTCAATTCGCTGAGAACAGTGGTGAATGTGCCATGCTGATAAATAATTAGTTCAAAACTATAATAGAGCTAGAAATGTAAAAGTTAAGAAAGAATTTATTATTTTGTTTCATATGCCATTCAGACATTTTCCTGCACTTTTTCCTGTGTGTTTTTATTATGTGGGCGTTTGTCTCGTTCGACTGCCAAACACATCAGACTCATTTCATGCAATAGAGAGGGATTTCTTTGCATCGAGCCATGTCACTGGCACCTTTATTCATTACCCTACCTATCCTACTCTACCTACATCACCTCGCCACCTAATTTCATTATAAACATCATCTGAAAATGACGATTGAGCATTCTAACAATAAATTTTTATTTAATTTGCACATTTCAAATTCGTTTGAATTTCTGTGATAAACAGTGCGACCGGCTGATGGAGATAATTGAAAAGAACAAATTCCTGTTGGATGATTTTGAAGGAGGCAGTCGAACCTGGAAAGGAGGTGAAATGCTGGCAGAGCTGGATCTTGTTGCCTTGAATTCAGAAAACATATGTTTATATGAGGTTTGTTTGTATTGTTTGTGAGGTTGTTTGATTGATTGATTGATTGATTGATTGATCGTTTGTTTGTTTGTGTGTTCGTTTGCTTGCTGACTGACCGACTGACTGGTTGGCTGACTGACTGGTTGGTTGGTTGATTGGGTGGTTGGTCGATTACATTGTTCCCAAACATTATGCATTTACATGGTATCAGTTAGTGTGAGTTTATGCTGACTGAATGGCATTAACCAAGCAAACTGATAATTTCTTTTTATATAATTTATTTATTAATTTTTTCTTCAAGTTATTTTTACTGTTGCCCATCTTCAAAATTTTTGAACAAGTAACCTAACTTTTTTTACACAACAGAAATCATTTAGAAAAGTTATGGAGCCGTCAGCAAGCAACGAAGAAGCGTCGAATGTTCAACGCAGCAAAAGAAAGAATGATGAGAAGAAAAAGTTGTCATCAGCCACCGTCGGCATGCTGGAAGGTGTCCTCACCGTCCTCTCGTTCGTCTACAAAAATGACAAGAAACATCTGCCTGATTATAGGTTGAAATTATTGCTTGAAATTATGAAGTGGGCAATATAATGTTATATGGGATGAAAGTGTTCTTGATCATTTTAATTCTTTCATGTTAATGGTTGATAGACTTCCATGAATAACTCAATTCACCAATTCATTAATTTTTTTACTGACTTTTCAAGCTTAACACCTCTAGCAGAATTTTATATGAACTGTCTTCCGTCTATCAATCATTTAATGGTTTTTGTTGATGCCCATTTGTATTAATGTCCCATTATTTCTATTTTAAACGTTGCCAGTCTGTCTTTATTTCTTTTTACTGTTCATGTTTTAAATGCATATCCCACACACACATGATTTATTTTATTTTATAGACATCTTTTTTTCAAATGTCTTTCATCAATGCAAATCTTCTTTCGTTAATTTTTTTGGTCACTTTTTGTCCCTGTGATAAGACTACCTAAGCAAACAGACTGGTTGACTTGTGCTAAGTTTTCTGTTTCATTTCGGACTTTCGTGCTGGCTTCATTTCCTCCAATTTGTTTGATGTGGTATGAAACCATGTGTGTCATCTCAATCATTCTCTTTAGAACATCTGCATTGGAGAATAACGAATCGATATTTTGAGCAAACTGAGATCCTTCAAAATGCTATCTTCACTTTTATTTCTACCCTTCAAAGACGCCTCCTTCATTTCTTCTTCAGTCTTTCCGATGCTGCTGCAGTCAGCAATGGTGTAATCGTCTGTTTTCAATTCCCGCTTTGATCTTACCCCCGAGTTTGGAATCAATATTTACTTCCATTTTTGACTCCTTCTAAAATCTTTTTAATACTTTTATCAATTTTCACTGTGCCTATTCCTTTTGCAATTTTCTGTTATTTCAATGAATACATTTGCTTTTCCACATTTCTTATCTATCCGTCCTCTGCCACCTAGTCCAACATTATAGCAATACGAACGCCACTAATTTGATCTCGTTTTTGAAACACCATTCAACACAATTCATGACGTAAATAATTTCAATGTTTGATTTTTCTTACCATTGTCAGGTTTGTGTTGACAAGGTCAATGTCATATTCTTCCGCTAGGGAAACAGTAAGTCTCTCCATGCACATATCTTGTTGAATGCATATTTTAATTTTCAACATTGATGAATAAATTATATTACCAAGAAATTTTGTTTTGTAGCCCCCAGCTTTTGAAAACAAAGCTGGGTATTTTTATATGTTTGGCATGTGGCTAAGTAATAAGAAAATATTTCAGTTTAAATCCAAAAAGCATTCATTATATATGTTATCATAAATTACATCAACAACTTGAATTGTGATTCTTGAACAACACATTATTAATGATAGGACAATCAGTGGATGGGTAAGAAAAGACATCCGAAATCTAACTCAACCTGGGTGTATCATTTGAATTTCTGGTGCATGAATTCTGCCGTTGTTAGTTTTAACTAACTGATTGTTTACACTTTCATTCTCACTGATTATCACTTGGCATCATTTAATTATTCATCAGAAAAGCATCATTGTTTACTTTTAATACATCATTGATTATCATTTCAACATTTTTTTAATATTTTGCCACACCTATTTGCATTTGTTGGAAAGCGTGGAAGTTTCTCGGAAGATTGCTAGAGTGATAAAAAGTTTATATGAGGCATCCGAGATGGCTGTTTAAACAATAGGAGGAGGTTTAGCTGAATGGACAGAGACAGCATTAAGTAGCAGGCAAGGAGAACCAACTTCCCTGCTACTACGAACAGCGATACTTGAAAACATTAGAAGGGAAATGGAGATGAGAGAACAGAAAGTGCTTTACTTCAAGGAACTTGCATAAAGGATCCGAGATTTGCTGATGACATGGACATATTAGCACTAGATGAGTTGGAACTACAAAGTCAGCTGAATATGATTTACAGGAAGGGTGATAAGTTTCGTCTCTACATTAATTTGGACTAAATAAAAATGATGATAATAATCGGTACTACCAGAAAGTTGAACGTATGCATAGACTGAGAAAAATCGTATGCATGGATAAATGTGTGTACCAGGGCACTGGGCAGTATGATAGCAGCAGATTGCAACAAAGAAATACGAAGAAGAATAGGAGTAGCAAGCAATGCATTTGCCAACTTGAAATCAGTGTGGAAGAGTAGAAATGCTAGCATTAACGCGAAGTTACGATTTCTTGACTTTTGGGTGATGTCTACATCACTTTACGCTTGTGAGGCATGCTCAATGAAGATGGAAGACGTCAGGAGGCTCAGTGCTTTCATTGGTCTCGACGGTCCATAGGACTATGGAGAGATAAAGATGTTGATATTATTATATTGATGCAAAATTCCATCTTATCATTGTTGTCATTATTTCATGTTGAACAATAAACACCAAGCAATTAACATGACTACCAACTAATGAAGGCGTTCGTTGAGATGAGCAGAGACGTTCGAAGCATTGTACTGACCAGTGGTACTCTGTCTCCGATGAATTCCTTCCAGTCTGAGCTCGATGTCCCATTCCAAATTCAGTTTGAGGCCAACCACGTCATCGACAGCGACCAGGTTAGTCGTTTGATGACAGTCGTAAATTATTTAAATCACGTATTCTATGCATGGATTACTTATTCGTTCATTTAACCGTCAATAATTCATAGGCAGATTTACTTTATTGTTGTTTTTATTGTATTTCATGAAACCAGGTTCTGGTATCATGTTTGTCTCGTGGACCATCAAGGATTGAACTGCTTGGCAGTTTCACAAATTCTGAGAGGTGGGACTATCAGGACGAAGTTGGATCCATCCTCCTTGATGTTTGCTCTGTTAGTTAATCTGCTTGGTGGTCTCTCACTTGCTACATCTTCGCTCATTTGCTCGAAAATGCAGATTCGAGCTCATTTTTAAACCTGTTGTTGTTGTTGTTGCTGCTGTTGCTGATGCTGCTGTTGTTGTTGTTGATCTAATAAAAGAATTATCACATTTATTGTATGTAACAAATTTGTAGATAAAACATTCGCTTTCATTCAAACGCAACCTCAATGTTCATATAATGTTGATTCAACTATCATCCATTCAACCATCATTTATTCACCCGTCATTCATCCCGCCATTCATTATTCATTCACCCGTCAGTCATTTATACATCCATCCATCCATCCATCCATCCATCCATCCTTCCATCCATCCATCCATCCATCCATCCATCCATCCATCCATCCATCTATCCATCCATCCATCCATCATTCATCTAACCGCCGTTCATTCATTCACTCATTCAGCCATCAATCATTATTCTTTCGACCAGATTGTACCACATGGCGTCTTATGCTTCCTACCTTCCTACAAATCACTTGAAAAACTGACCTCCAGATGGCAGGTCTGTTCCTGCTCAATATTCAGAATTTCTGCTACTTACGTTGAGTTTACGTTACGTTTACTCTTGCGTTAAGTTTGTGCTATGATTGTGGAGTTTGCGCTACATGCGATGAGCTTGTTCTACTTGTGTTATGTTGAGTTTGGGCTACTTATGTGGAGTTTGTCCTACCTGCTGCTCACAGTTTTACTTGTTTTGTTGCTTTTGTGAAAGATTTAATTAAATATCTGTTGGGCGATGTGCACATTTAAAATCAATGCAGCAATCCTAGGTTGTAATGAAATAACTAAGTAACGAGCTGTTGTTCTGCTTTCATTTGTTTACTTTGCATTTCTTATAAATTAGTTGTTCAGTTTTATGTACTAGTCTGGTTCACACTGCCTTCAACTTCTTTACCTTCAACTGGCTTCATCTTCTTTGTAGATTGCTGTCTGCCCATTCTTGCTTTTTATCTTAAGAACTTCTGTTTGGACACCATGACGCTTCGATTGGTAGAGCCTCCTATCTGGTATGGGTGCATGCACGCACACCCATCTCGTCATCAAATGCACCTCTTTATGATGTGCTGGTGCACCTCTGTATGCTCGTAATTGAGTTCACTGTATATCAATGATCAAATCAAATCACAAATCATGATTAAGTGCGTGTGTGTGCTGTCAGTTTCATTTAACTTATTTAAATTTGAAGATCTATTTTGTTTTATTACAATTTTGAGAGTACCTGAGGATCTTCAATAACTTGCGTTTTTTAAAAATTGTTAGTGAGTGATTTTAACGGTGGTTGTGTTGCTTGCTGATGATGACGACGACGTACGATTCAGATGACAGGTCTGTTTGCCCGTCTCGAGAAGTTGAAAGTTGTGCACGTCGAACCTCGATCCGGCGGCAAGGAAAGTTTTGAAAAAGTTATCAGATCATATTATGAAGTCATTGATAGGACTTCAAATGGTTAGGCCTTGGTGATTAGATTATATCTCATCATGTTGTTGTATGTTTAATTATATGTACATTTTTTATGATTTTTTTTTGTCCTATGTATTAATTTTACTTTCAAAAGTGCATTTAATTATTTCTTGTCAGTGAAAATTTTTAGATTGAAATAAAATTTTATTTGTTGATTATTAAATAAAAATGTAAAATTGAACTAATGAGTTGAATTGACGAGCATGCGTGCATGTATCCAGATGGAACTGATGGGCTGACAGGAGCGTTGCTGCTGGCGATCTGCAGAGGAAAAGTAAGCGAGGGCATCGACTTTGCGGACAATCACGCGAGAGCTGTCGTCCTGGTCGGTTGCTTCTTTCTATCGGTTTCACCAACATTCTTCTTTTGCTTACAATATTTACCGATGAAAATGTTGAAATATAGAGTTATAAGGGCTGTACGCAAATTTCCGTTAAAATCTTTGTTGAATGCCACAGGAAAACTAATAAGAAAACTATTACTTATTCTGACTACTGATTTACTCTAGCAGTATACATATCATTTCCGTGGTTCTTGATTTCAAATCTTCTTCACATGATGTATAAATAATTTTTTAAACTTACAGGAAGCTAAATAAGTTTATACGATCTTGTCAATTTTATTAGTAAACCAAAGGTCTAATTTTGTGACTCTTGAAATATCATTCTTATCTCTGTTGCTTTTTTAATTAGGTAATGTTTTTATTCTTTTATTATTGACCTTTAAATAACGCATTGTATTATTATTATTAATATTATCTGGCAGGTGAGCATACCTTACCCTAACATCAAAGACTCTCAGGTTAGTTGTTCACCAATTGTTCATCAATTGTTCACCAATTGTTCATCAATTGTTCATCCTTTCATCTTTTCTATTAACAAGTTTGCATTATTTCATCATTTTTTAATTCTTCATTGAACGGATCTATTTTTTAATTACTAAGTTGCACATCAAATGTTATAACTCTATAGCCTTTATGCTGAAGCGATACATTCTTTTTAAATAAGCTTCATACATGCTCGCATATGATTTGAGGTAAACAATTTTATAATTTAAAAACATGTAAAGGTGAATTTGAAGAAAGAGTATAACGACATGAAATCAAATAAGGGCCTGTTGTCGGGTCAGTTGCTTCTTCACTTTTAATGTACATGCAACAAACGAAGGTTATCACTTTTTGTAGCCATATGTTCTAGTGTCAGTCAATATTTGAAAAGCTTTTATTACACCAGAAATTACTATTTCTTGGTTGCGTGCTGGGTTGGCATTCGACTGCTTGTGTTGTTGGTTAGTGCGCACACCTATTTGCTATAATGTTGAGAGCTTTTAAGCTGCACGCTGTTTATTCATCAATTAATCACGCGCAGGTAGGGAATGGTACGACATCCAGGCATTCCGTGCGTTGAATCAGGCCTTAGGACGGTGCATCAGGCACAGGTAGATGAAAATTTATTTCGTTATATTTCGTTTATTTTCTCTACACTGCACTCAAATAATACATTTATATTATTAAAAGGTATTTGCAATGTAACATAAACAAATGGCACGAGCTATTTAAAGCAGCATGCAACATACACATACATACAGCACACCTTACACTCCTAAACAATAGACACATACACACACACACAAAAACTTTTACAGAAATGATTGGGGAGCGGTCATACTGATAGACAACCGGTATGCCAGAAGTCAACAGAAGCACATATCATGTACGTATTTCTCTGCTATCTATCCTATACCTTATATTATAATGATATTTGTAGGTAGGTGATTTTGTTGCAAAAACATTTTACTATAAATAATAATTTTAGTAAGAAATCATCTTTCTGTCAAAAGACATGGATAGTTTTTTTAATTTTTGATGGCGTTAAATGTTAATGAACTTGTATATATATTTCAATTGTGCAGATCTGTCGAAGTGGTTGCGACATAGAGTGAAGTTTTATGATGACTACCATCTCTCCCGTTTAAGTCTTGAAAAGTTCATTTCAGAGCGAACAAACATTCCTTCAAACCCTTCCACATCTGATGACAGGTTGCTTGAAACGCTCTTGACAGATGACGATGATAGCGACGAGGGTTGTGATAAGAGTGATGACAATGATAATGACGACGTTGCATGCAATCATTTGAATGAAACACGCTGCTTATCATGGTCGTCCAAAGTTTTGAACCTGTTGAGTTGTCGGTTGTTGATCTATTCTTATGTCTTCCTATTTTTGCTATTCATTGTTGGCCTCTTCATAGATTTATTAAATTTCACCTCCAGTTACTGAACTGCACTCAATGTTTGTTGTTTCATGAAATAAAAGTTTTTGAAAATGTTTTGCTTGTTGCTTATTAAAAAGTTATTGTATTAAAGAAAAGTTTTAATATCCTTCCACAAAACAGTGCACGTGTTTCGAGCAGCAGTGCAAACCAGAATGAAATAAGCAATGCTGACAACAACAAAGAAGCGAGACTCACCTTATTTAACGTTGGTATGACGTTGAGTCAAGTGCAAAACGCTTGCGATTCTCCATCATTCGATAAGGTTGCATACCAACAACACTCACATTATTCCAAAAGTGGCTCAAAATTTCTGCCAGCAAGAAACAACATAACATTCACTTCAAAATTTAAGGGAAATCTTGAAAATAAACATCAACTGAATGACACGTCCTTACTATCACATGATATACATTCATCATTACATGGCGCAAACAACTGTTCATTCTTAAATGTCAACGACAAAGCTTCTTTTCTACTATCGCACCGAGATCATTTCAACAACGAGAATACGTCATCGTCAATTTATACTCATCTCGATGAAACTTCATGGCCACATCAAGACCACCACGACAAACTGTTATCATTACATCATGATCTCGACATGAACGAACCATCATCACCAGCAGCCGGTCAAAACAAGCCACTTGATATTTCAATTGAGCCTCTTAAATTGAATTCCAACTATCAAATGAAGGATATGATGTTAGTTTTGTCCTTTCACAAATTTTCATAAAATAAAAACCAACTGGCAAATGTGATAATACTGCATGTTTCAGTGACTTAATGTTTGAATTAACTTTTGTTTCTGTTAACGCAACGTACATGACACAATTTGAAATTATATCATTAAGCAATCTGGGTAATTCATTAAGTCATCGTTTCCCAACATTGGTTGGTTGATTGATTGATTGATTGATCAAATATCTTAGTTCTATTTTTTGTTATTCTTTGTTTCTACTACTCAACCAGCTTGCACATAAAATTTTAATTGATCTATAGCGAGAGAAACTTCCTTGATGACATGATGACCTCGACCTCTTCACCTCCCTCACTCACTTCAGATGAGATGGAAATAACAACTCTTCTGTCGACAAAAACTCCTTCCATATTAACTTCGACAGCAACTTTAACAGTAACACACAGTGGAGTTTCATCTGATTTGTTTTCTGACGACGACGGTGATGATGATTTCACGACAACTATCAACAAAAAGATGGTTGCACATTGTGAGGGCAAGCAGATCCAAAAGGCAACTGGCACATGCGAAGCAGACAACATTAGCATTTTGTGCAATGAAAATCAAGAAAATGATAATTTTCCAATGATGTCATGCAGTCCTGCGAAATGTGATGCAACTGCAATTTTTAATAATATCGACATTAACGACAGCGACAATGATGACTTTCAAGCTAATCCTGTTTTTACATCTGCCAAGAAACCAGTAAGCAAATATTTTTTTAAAAGTATTTACATGAATGTTTCATACAACGACACTTAATTCTATTCTATTTATATACAAGTGTTAATTGTTCTAATTCTAACAGAGGTGAGTGGGAATGAAAATTTGTTACCGGTTTCTTCTCGTTTTGAAAATTAACGAAACAAAAAAGGCTTAAGCTGCATTTAAAACATTTATTTTTCAATAAAACATATAAATAATTTTTTGGGGCAAGTTCGTTCTAAGAAAAATAAATCACTGTCTCGACTACGATATTTTTCAGCAATTTTGAATTGTCTTAAATTGACGCTTTGCACAGCCGTACGCAAAACTTTAAGTTTTGAAATTGATTGCAAGACAAAACAACGTTTCTTCTCGTGGTGATTATATAACTGATTGCACTTAAAAAGAATTTTTAAGTCGGTTTTTTGAAGGAAAAAACACTTCCAATTTGTTAAAATTTTGTTTTTGTCGAAATTTAGTTTATTTCGTTTTTCCCATTCTCATTTTCCCATTCGTTTTTCTCATTCTTGATTCCCGTAAAAAAATCGCCTATTCATACTTGCCTTCCTGGGATTTTTATTTTGCCAATTCTGATGAAAATTACATCACATCTCACCTCTTTTCTACTATCACCATAATTTATTCAATTTTTAATAACAATTTTTAATTTAGCATAGGCAACTTTCCACCTCAAAGAAAAGATTGGCCACCGCTAGCAATGACAGATCAAAGTGTAGGAAAACATTAAATTCTTGAGTCATTTAATTGCGTTTTAATAAAATTTTAAAATTGTGGCGTGTTTTGCAATCACTCCAATGAGTGTTAACGATAATAAATAAATTTTCCTTTGATAATTATGTCAGTCAAGTTTATAGGGGTTAGGGTGTATGTGTAGATGTGTAATGACCTGTAGCAATCGAATATTTAGTTGAGTTTATGGTAGCTTTTAATAGAATTTTTTAATTTACAGTTTGCGGCTTCTAAACAATTTTTTATTTGCCTCCGAAAATGTAGCGGTAATGTTTCCATGCTAGACAAATAAAAATAATCGTTCACTTTTCTGTGATAAATTACTTTATGTATTTTATTAATTGTTAGTAATTTGATGTATTAACTCATTACAAGAAAATTTTCATAAGTCGACAGTATTGTATTTAAAAAAAGTAAAAAAAATTTGATTAATCGTTGCGATCATTTTTCAAAATAAAAGTTCTTGTCATCAATCATATCATCTACAAGATTTTTTTGAAGTCTTCAAGATTTAAACTTTTTTTTTCGATTATTAATTTTCTGATCCTTGACCTGTAGCCGTTGAATTTTTGCTGTTATTCGTCAGCCGCTGAATAATTTTTCGGCTAGCCGATCTAACCACCGAACGTTTTAAACGTATCTGAAGAAATGAAATATGGATTTCTTCACTTTATAGTAGGTTGAAAAAGTAGTTGGTAGTCTGTTGCCTGTTACGCAGATCGCCCAACTGCTGTTTACAGAATTAATTGAGAGAGCAGTGAAAAAATGGAAACATCATTGATCGGTAAAATTAATATTAGAGACAAAATTATTAAGAATCTCAATCTGGCTGAAAGTGTTGATCCACTGGTATTCAGTGCAGATGGTTCACTGGTTCACGCCGTGAACTTCACGGAAGCTTATTGAGATGACGTAAAACGCTAAAGATTATGGATTGCATAACCATCAACCAAAACAATCATTTTGAGAGAAAAGACCGAATTTCAAATAGGATCGGAAAAACTAGAACAAGTTGAACTGTTCGTTCACTTGGGCAGTTTCATAACGTAACTTGTGACTATTCGCTCAAAAAGTTAACGGAAGAATAGCTATTGCACGAGGAATGCTTTCTATATCTATCAAAACGAAGTTGAAAAAAATAGAAAACTTTGACAATAAAAAAAGAGACAAAACAGATAAGCGTTTGAATGAAACTACTAGGAATCAGTTAAAGACAGAAGTAAAACGAAATCATAAGAAACCAGCTTGTATTGCAGTTAAATAAAACAGTTAAATAAAACCTAATGAGGAAAAGAAGTTAGAAGACTTGCCAAAAATTGTTAATTACATTACGGAACGGATTGGAGCGGAAATATTAAATTCGTTATGATCAAAAAAGTACGTTTTACAGCCAAAAAGATAAGCATAGCTACCAAATAAGGTTTTTAAAATTTCACATAACTAATTATTTATTTCAACTGACAACTCGACACAAGTTAACGCCACATTGATTTACAATATTCCGACTAAATCTAAAAAACAAAAAATCTTTACTTCCAATCAAATAATAAATCAGCAACTTTTTTGGAAACATGGATGAACAGTAATTCTTAGTAATTAATCATTTTATATTTAAAAAATTAAACATTAGGATGATAATTTAAGTAACATTAAATATGGCAATGAAACTTGGTGTATATTCATGATGATATCAATGCTGATATTAATACAATATTCATGATTCATTCGGTTAACTAGTTATTGTAAATATTATAACTTCGAAGCGGGAGGAATCATAAGATTGCCATTGCCAAAAATGTTATTTGGATCTAAGAATTGTTTAACAGCTCTCAAAGTTCCCAAACCAGGTGATGAAATGGTTCGCTCCAGAAATTCCTGTCTTATCTTTCCAACTAAAACGTTATAAGTAAGTATATTGTAGCACGATACGCGCTTTAACATTTAATATAATTAATGATTGGTACAAAGAATTTGGTTGCTTCATGTTTAACTTAGCAATTAAACTTGTTAAAAAATGTTCTATCCTTAGAGCGAGTTACTTAATGTTGATAAACTATTAATAATTAAAACGCAAATCGTTTATGGATTATGGATAGGCAAAATAGAAAAGTGATAGGCAAGCAGGACTTACCTCCATGGTGATGTGAAATACTGCCTCCATTGGCTAAAATTTCCTCCCTGGCACTTTTCTGATGTAACAAAATTTTAAGATTAGCTTTAAATGGCGCCATTGAATAAAAACAATAGAGTGGAATTAACAAGAGAATATGAGTTCTTAACATTACAAGTAAAATCAATTTTAAAACGAAATCTTCAAACAATCTGGGTGATTCATTAAATCAGTTCGGTAGTACAAATTAATAGCAAGCTGTACGTACCTCTATTTCTTCATAAACGTGGACAGGGTTGCTGATACCTCTGTAATTGAATCCAAAGTAGAAGTAGACACATGCTCCGGCGTCGTACGTTTGTGTCACTCTGTTGTTGTCGTAGAATAGAAATTCGCGATTGTTCATCAAATGGGAAATGAATAAAAATTATTTATATATATATATATATATATATATATATATATTATATATATATATATATATATATATATATATATATAATACTAACAAACATAAAATTGCAGCTCAAAAATTAATTACCGTTTAAAAATAATGTATATGTCAAACAAAAAACCAATAACATAAAGACCAGTTTTAATCAGCAATAAAGTTTTAACCAACAATAGAAAAGAATGAAGACATACAAAGAGACTGTGAAGCATTTGAGAAGATGGAATAGAAGAATGGATGTATCATTATATATTCTTATAAAATTTATGTGGTAGGCTAGATGAATATGTTGGGTTGGATGGAGAATATGATGGAACAATGGTAGACCTGCAAGTGGCATAAGGGGGAAATTGAATTCCATGTTTCGTGCACTCTCTTTTTATTCGATCCTTCGTGTTGCGACACAAGTCTAGCACCCTTCATTGTGCATTTGTGTATGTGTGCAATTTACGCAAATGCGGTAATATGTGTCCCCTAGCAAATGCATTCAAACACGTGTATTCATTCATATGCATCCATTCATTTATAGGTATTTGTGCATGCGTATTCACATTGTACGCACATGTATATATTCCTAAATTCAACAATTTAACACAATATCACTAAAGAAACGATCACTGAAAAGCATTCTTAACCAAAAATACATTTTTCGCAATCATAATATGCATCGCCATCACTAATTGATCAACCCCATCTCGCCAACCGAACGTTGTATTGGAAACTTTCACCATCCACGTTATGATCTTCATCATAATCTCATTATCATCTCATCATGTCATCATACGCAGTTATTTTAACCCCCTACATCACCAGTTTATTATCATCTCATCACTCCATCAACATCAGGCTAACCTATCCCAAGGAACTGATGTTTCGAATGATTCAGCGACAGTGCAATAATCAAATCCAATGTCCTACAAATGAGTTCAAGAATTAGTTAAGATGACGTTGCTGAACTAAAGTAACAAATAACATGGCGCTATAAAAATTTCAGTTATGCAGGATATGTGGGCTAGATGAATATGTTAGGTTGGATGGAGAATATGCAGGATATGTTTGTCAGCTGTCTCACATCAGAAAAATCTTTGTGAATAATTTCACAAAGTTTAATTCCAAATAACGTTGTGTGAAAATGGGAAAGATGGATGCCTAAAACGAGAAATAACATCATGTACAGAACTAGAGATGAAAATATATTTAATATACATTTTTAAAATGAACAGCAGACCAACCCTCAAATATGCAATCACGTAGGTCAACATATAACCCCTCTGCCCATTTTCTTCACCACCTGGGATGCCCCTATTCATAATTCACCATCATAATATGCCAACATTAGATTAATTCATCAACATAATATATCAACATTAGATTAATTCATCAACATAATATATAAATATTAGATTAATTCACCAACATAATACGTCAACATTAAATTAATTCACCAACATAAAATATAAATATTAGATTAATTCACCGACATAATATATCAACATTAGATTAACCCGTATTTTGATGCAATCTCATATACTTTCTTCTCACGACTTAAAACTTCCTGAAAATAATTAAAAAAAACACAATGAAATGAAAGTTTAAAATTAATCAACTCCACTGCATCAACCTAATAAAAACTGAAACTACATCGACAGCTGGAGCAATGAGAGGATCGTTTTCATTCTTAAAAACTCATCTAAAATTAATTTATCAACAAATAAGTGGAAATCCATCCCTGTTAGGCTTTTACATTGTGTAGTATTGTTCTCAAATGAAGTAGCAAGGAGAAACATTCACAAACATCTTTTGATCCTTCGAAGAGCAGCGTGGCCACGGCGATTTGCTGCAGGTCGAAGCCCTTAATCTTGGTGATGTAGACCTTCTTCAGGCCTTCCACCAGCGATGCCAGGAAGGATTTCACCTCGGGCTTCAACGCATGACCTTTCAAAGAACAATGGCGTGGTCATGATGGTGATTACAGCGATGGTTATGGTGATGATCAACGTGTTTGTCGAGCGTTACGTGGAAGTTGAAAAATATGCGACAACCTTTGAAAGCTGAAATATTCTTCAACTATTAAAAACAACTAATAAGTAAGAATAAAATTAATTTTTAACGATAGAAGTTGGCTAATTAAAATTATTATTTCCCACATATTAAACCTAATTTTTAAAACTTTTTAGTTAAATACCAATATTTGAAAGCACTCAAATTAACTTAATTAAACTTTACGTCTTCAAATCTATGAATTTGATTAAAATTCCAAAATGAAGCAATATTTTACAAAATCTAATTGTGAACAAGCAAAATGATTTTTAGTTATTTATTTAAATCAAAAAACTCAACATTGAATAATGCTGTATTTAAATTCTTCCTCATGCATCAGATGGCAGTCATTTGAGCCGAACCAGTCAACACGAAATAAATCAGAATTTTAAAATACTAATTAATAGATACAGAAAAGAATGAACCGAATACTCACTAACCAAACTGAAACTGTTCGTTGTCCATCAGTCGGATGGAGGCAGGCGCAACCCTCAACCTTGCAATCTCCTGCAAACACGCCACACCACTCGCAAAATCAGGGTACACAATGGAACCATACTTTCTAATTTCAGGGATGTGCCTGATTTTGATGGTCACCTCAGTCACCACCCCGAGTGTCCCTACAAATGTTTTCAAGTGTTTTCACCAGGGGTTAATGCTGTTTTACAGACAGCTAAAAAGTTATAATAAATCAAAAAAACCAGCTTGGATTGCGCGAAATTTATTTTGTAAAACATAATTCTGACAATTTTAATAAAATAATTTAATAAATTAATTAAAACATCAATCTAACAAGCTATTAAGAAGTATTATAATAGCTAGAAAATTATTTATATTAATTCTCTCTTAATTATTTCCCAGAGCCTTTAACAACACACAAGCCACATGTGAATACGCGTGAATCCGGGTATCAGGCATCACACCATTGCACGTGGCAGACGGAGATCTTCTTGTATTCGAAACCAGTCGATGCACCAGAGCAAAACCAGGCGCCTCCACCATCTCGCCGCCCAAATTTAATAATAGAATTTAATAAAAAAGATAAAATGCAGAAATATTGACCTTCAGATCCAAGAATGAAGTGATGGAGGTCAGGTCCCGACGACATCCTAGGCACCATGCAACTCTTCTCGAGAGTGCCTTTCGCGGTCACTGTCTTGAAGTGAACCACCTGAATCAGTTCAGTGCTTTGTCATCAACATTCAGTTAACATAACATTCAATGAACACCACAACATCATGTAATTCAACCTTCCTCAATCTCCTTCACTCATGCACAATTAAAAAGCACTAATCAATCAATAAATTAATCAATTAATTAATTAATCAATTAATTAGTCAATTAATTAATATAACAATAAATCACGACAGCTCCTACCAGATCTTCAATGTTGCCATAGATGTTCTTCTTCATGCCACTTGCCCTGGTAGCCACCCAACCTCCCAGAGTACTGAACTCGATGGAGTCTGGTTCGTGCCCTGTGCAGAGACCTCGAGCTGCTAACTTCAATGGTTGGAAGCGTATAAACAAACATTGTGGCCATCTTAAAAAACATGCCAGATTAGTTTCGATAACAAAATCATCTAAGAATGCTTAAGCCTAACCAAAATGAGATAAAACCTCAATATACGCTATTCCGAGATAAATACATCTTCACTGTCAACACGACACACGTCTTCCTTATCATCACCATCCTAATAACATCATCACCACCACCATCATCCTTTTTATCACCATCACGTGAAGTTACCCTCTTATCAAGGTCCTGCCCGACGATGCCGCTCTCACAGCATGCCACCATGTTCTTCTCATCAATCCACAATATACGTGACTGTTAATAATCATCAAATTGTTAATTACCATGATAATCCTCATTTCATTACGACGACGACCACCACCATCATCATCATCATTTCATTATCACCACCATCATCATCACCACCACCATCATCATCATCATTTCATTATCACCACCATCATCATCATACTGCCATGTTCTTCTTATCAATCCACAAATCCAAAAATTTAACCAGAAAGTTACTTTGTGCCACCATCATCATTTCATCACCACCATCATCAACATAACAAATTTAATGATCATCACCATCCGCGTCCGAGTCACCATCCCGTAACATTTACACCAAGCAGTATATTAATTACAAGAAATAAATTGACAGCTGATACTCGCCATCTGTGAAGTGTCCAGCGAAACAATCATTCTGACCTCATGCTCCGGACATTCAAGCGCGTTCGTCACGCTGGTACCACCTTCAATTACAACACTGCATTAACTTCATCTATAATATAAATTACATGAATACAAACATTGTCTGGTTAAACTCTGAAGATCAATTACATTGTTACATAATTACTACTAGAAGTAATTATTAAATTAGTTACTCAGCTGCTTAAGAGGTATGTTTTAAAGATTACAAAGATTACATGAACAAAAACTGCCATTATAAATTTCAGTGCAGACCTCCGAAAGGAATGATGACGACGTTGTGCACTTTGGCCAGCTCAACAATCTTCTCAACATCCGTGTGACCATCTAATTAAATGTTGTCTATTTAATGAATTTGTAATTTCAAAGTGGTGTACAATTTAAATTTTGACCAAATAAAATGAATCGGAGCGACATCTCGAGATAACTCATGAAATAAAGCTGAAAGATAGTAAGAAGCTCTTCTTAAATGACGACATGATGATTAAGGAAAGGTCATTGTACCACGTTCAGGGTTGGCTGTAAAACGATTAACATTGGCGGAAACAATTATATGACCTCGTTATGTAAACCTCATGACTAACTAACCAATTCGAATACTATCAGCTAGTTAATCTTGCATCAAAAAACTTATGGTCCGTTTTTAAAGGCTTAATCGAGGAAACAAATTTTGATCAATTGGTTTCTTTAGTCCATGCCAACATTTTCAATATTTTTAAATTTCTTAAATTTGCGTTTGAATTCTTCAGCTCATAATTTTTTCATTTCGATATATATATATTGAAAATTGTGAGAATGTAGAAACGATGTAAGAATGAATGAATTGATATTCATTCATCAATGTTAATGCTTAGTCTTAAATAATTGGTTAAAATTATTCAATTGAAAATAAATTAGCAATTTCAAAACTTTCAGAGAAAACCAGATGAAAGTTTTAAAATGAATGTTGAGAAGTCTAAAATCTCATTCATTTATGATGCGATAGAAAGTTGAGCAACATACTTGGCCAGACAACGAGGTCAGGAATCCTCTTGAACTTTCCTTCTCTCAATAAGAACAACTCGTGGAGTGTGTGACCTGAGTTAATGTTATTTCGGAAATAATAATTCAAATCAATACAATAGTAAAATAGTGATAAAAATTTATTCAGCGGTTACCAATGGATGGACCACATTTTTCTATTGATTACCATATAATGAAGCATGACCACTTCAATTTTATCCTGCACTCCTGAAAAGAGTGCATGCATTGAACGATCGAAACGCATGTATCTTTTATAGAATGCAATATAACGTAACGCAAAAAGCATAATGTTATATCCTTTTGAAGAGATATATGTATAATAATGCAGAGATGCACGTTAGCTAAGAAATCCTGTCATATAAAAGTATTGAAACTAATACGTGAACATGAAGGGTTTTGATTAAATACGATTATGAAGACAATTAAACTTGATGTTTTACGGGAGAAATAGTACTTGCAGCAGTATGAACATTTATTTTCCTATCATTAATTTCTGAAATATTGAAATAAATAAACGCGAAAGCACCGTGGGCCCTGAAGAGTCTATCATTTGGGTCATCGGAGTAGCATATGTTGGACATCTTGATGCTCTTCATGAAATCTTCATTTATGTTCGGGGCTGGAATGTTAGCAACCGTCATCTCAACCTGATTAGTTTAAAATTTACTTTGAGAACATTGCAGTAACGAAAAAATTCAGTAAATAAATAACAAAACAAGTCAATTGGAAGTAATAAAATGCGTAAATTAGCATGAATTTCATAGTTTGTTCATACACAACAAAGCAATCAATTAGGTAAGCAACCTAGATATTGCAAGTTTGTCATTTTATTAACAACATTCTTTCTTTTTATGTACACAATTTTCAACTTGACTAATTTCATCCTATCTTTAAGTTGAAACCAGTTGCAATTTGGTCTTATTTAAATTACTTATTGTCTTCTATATGTCAAGCACCATTGTAGTTTCTTTTCTGGTACTCTCACAATCTTGATCAACATCATATTTGACCTGGAAATTGCTACCAAATCAATGCATCTCCAATTATTTCAGTAACGTTGAGTTTGACATCTTCACTATGTTCTCATCACTTCTCTCTCTCTCTCTCTCTCTCACATACACACACACAGACACACACACACACACACACACATCCTCCAAGTAAGAGAAGGTACACAAAAACTAAGAATAATGATAATGTTTGAAATCGTGATGATCTAACAAAATGGTTGAAAATGTCTTACCTTTTATAGTGAATTATATGCTACATGACACTTTACGGATTTAAAATATTGAAAAATAAAAATTTATTTAAATGTAAAACTCTTAAACTCTTTAAAAGGTGCACGGCAAATCTCAAGTTACACAACATTTTAAGCCATGAACAAATAATAAGAAAGAAGAAAAATTAACTAAAATATAAACTTAATGGGTGAGAAAGTTAAGAGGTAACCTGAGCAGGTGACTTGTGATTGATGTCAATGCCAACAGTTTTAGTCATCCATTCTCTTAGGTGTGGCATCACATGGCCGCTGAGTTTGTATCTATTTGAATGAACAGGAAAAAATCTAACAAATTCCTACAGAGAACTATGTTCCAATAACATAAAAACAATTAAATTCAAAAAAAATTAATATTCAGTCAGACCTCCTAATAACGAATTTCTATATAACGAAAACCTCTATATAACGAATTTTTTATTTTCCATGGAATTTTACACATAAAACTGTTTTTATAGAAAGAAAATAATTTCTCTATAATGTACAAAATTATAAATGTTGAACATAGTAATCTAAAAGTTAGGCATGTATTATGCTTTTTGCTATATACACATAATGTTAGTATTTATTTACATTTAACATTACAAATTTTCATATTTTTCCATTTGTACTGTATATTATTACCTTTTGTTATAAAAATGAATGATTAATGGCCTGTTTTTCATAAATATATAGCATATAAACACCTTTTAAGTGATATAGAATTTTTTCCTGAACAAATTCTAAGTAACAAAATTTCTATCTATATAGCAAATTCATTTCCTGAAACTATCAAGTTTGTTGTACAGAGGTTTAACTATATATATATATATATATATATATATATATAAATATATACACACCATGCATTCTCAAACACGCTTACATAAAAAACGCATCCATACACATAACTATATAAGATTAACTAAGAACCAAACTGATTACTGACCATACCTGCATTTAAACATACACCCACAACCAACTGAACAGCAGTCATACAGTGATATATCAACTTACCCACTTAACCAATTCAACAGCATTTATACAATAAATATTGTACCAACATGCATTTCACACATATAACTGTTTTTTATTCCATATATTTTCCACCAAAATTTTACTGCCCTTTTGGTGCTCTAGATGATGCTGTTTTTTTTAAATAAGGTCAGAAGTACAAAGTCAACTATTTCTAAAATTTGAAAGATATTCACTTTAAAAACAAATTTTTAACTAAGATCTATTTTTTTCTAAAACTGTTTATATTAACTGATGCAAATTTGATTGTTTAACATTTCCTTTTTAATTTTGAAAAAATTGAATATTAACAAAAATAATATTTCAAAAAAGTAAATCTCTGCAGCAAATGACATTGCTGCTTTATTTCTGCTTCCTGTTTAGTGTTTATCAAAATATTTTCATTATTATTGTCACTATGTCATTATTTCAGTTCCTTTTTGAATGATTTTGAAAAATTTCAAAACTCAAACTGCAAAAAGTTAAATTAGATACTATAGACTACACACATAACATTATAACATTTAGTACAACATACACACATAATGTATTATATTATACAATATACATACACACATAACATATTAACCACACACATCTCACATATCTTATAAATAACATATAACAACCTTTCTCCAGAAAACTCAACTTGGCCATCTTTATTGATGAAAAACTTTGAATCTTTGTAGCCCCAGCCATTCCATTTTAATAATTCCTGCCTAAAATAAAAATTATAAATAAACTAATATTGAAATTAATAAACTGTGAAGCATCATTATATGGAACATAATACAACAAAGGATACAGTCAAATCAAGCAAAACATTATAAGATTTAAAATACAAGAATAAGACGCTGCAATTGTACTTTGATCCATCATTAGCATTTTTAATTTTAAAAACATTTTTATATAAAATTTTTAGTTTTTTTTATTTTTACCTTCGTTTAGGAATGGTGTTTGGTTGTTGTTCAACAGGCAATTTAGATTTAGACATCTTGTTTGATTTGTACAATAAAATAAAATTCGCGCTCTCGTTGACAAATGTCGTCAAGCAAATTTAAAACTATTTCGTTAAGTCTTACTGACGGCGAAAACTGGAATACACCTGACTGCAACAAAAAATGACTTAACTTTAAATTCACTTTTAACAAGACACAAGATACGAAGAACAATATTTTAAGATATATATTTCAAGTTAATAAAATTAAAAAAGTTATAAACATTTTTTAATTAACATTATTATTGGTGAAAACTTGTTATTTAAACATTTATTATTAGAATAAATTTTTTTATAAAATAAGAAAAATGATATTACGAAACATTCAAAAATCAGCTGATTCTGTCTTTTATCTCCATTTTGCTCCATCTTTCTTTTTACTGAACTTTTTGTTTTACTGACGGAAAAAATGAGCGAGCAGCATGAGACGGCGTCGACTGCTTTCAACACTCAGAGCCTGGATTCGAATGCTACAGCTGCCTCCAACTTGCGCATGGACTGCTCGTCTGCATCGTCGACCATGGAGTTTGAAGCTAAAAGGTTCAAGTCTGAGCATTTTGAGTCTGAACCACCTCTAGAAGAACGTTTGGTTGGGGTCCTGTGCTGTGTCGTCTGCCTCGACCTGCCCAATCAGACCTTCTTTCAAGTACAGTACACCATATCTTTTTTTGGTTGCAACTTTTTCAGAAAATTGGTTGTCCATTTTTTCTCTTTTTCTGTAGTTTTTTTTCCAGTTTTCTTTATGCTTCCTTTGTCTGTTTATCTAATTAAAGTTCATTGTCTTTTAACAAAATGAAGTGTGCTTTACACAGAAATAGTGGTGATGTGTAATTTCTTATATTTAATCAACTATTTTGAAAGTGTGTACAAAATAACTAAATTTTATTTTTTTTAATTTTTTTGTCTTTTGAGGAAAAAAATAATGTATTGTTGTTGAATTGAAAAATTAGGATTTTTGAGTATTTATGTTAAACTATTCAAAGTAGCACTTCTTTTCTCACATTTTACATGACAACTGTTCTGAACAGCCATGAAATAAAAGGACAGTATCAGCCAGCCACAATACTTCACCACCTGTCATCCTCTCTCTGCCATCTTACTCAGCATTTCAATCAAACAATTTTCATTTATATTAAGATTCTCAATAAATAACCCACTAGAAGCATTCAACAATTTGTTTTGTTGTTCAATTGAAAAATTTCATAATGTTTTTGTTTATTCTTTCATTTCCTTTTTCTTTCCATCTGTGTTAATGTGCAATAATTATACAATGGCATATCGAATGGTAAACAAATTGAACTGTTTTATTTGGTCTTTTCTTCTCACAGTGCACGAATGGACACCTGATGTGCATCAGCTGTCTCACTCACTTGTTGGCCGATGCCCGAATTAAAGATGAGAACTCGACGTGTCCGCAGTGCAGATGTGAGATCAACAGGAATGTCTGCATTAGAAATCTGGCTGTTGAAAAGGTGGATGTGTGGTGTTGCTGTCTTGTTTGTTGTTGCTGCTGTGTTTGTTATTGCTGCTGTGTTGTTGCTGTTCCATGATAATGTAATCCCTATGTTTGTTTTGTTATTATGGTTTTCATAATGGTAATGTTAGCCACTATTTTCAATATGTTGGTCACTAACTGGTCTTCAAATCCTTCACATTTATGAGGCCCTCAATGCTAGTGGTTGTCATCATTTGGTTGACTACTTGTTCATTTTCTCAATCATTCAGTTTATGAATTTTCATTAACTCTTTCATCATCTTAATGGCTCGATTGTTGATCTTACTGCCACCTATCATATCCATACTCATTTACTCATTGGGTCAGTGAGTTATTCATTTATTTCTTCATTAGAACATTGCTCTGGTCACTTATATACCAGGCACACTCACTTATCTACACACCTACTAACTAGTTAACTACCTACCTACCTGCCTACCTACCTACCTGCCTACCTACCTACCTGCCTGCCTGCCTACCTATCTACCTACCTGCCTGCCTACCTGCCTACCTGCCTACCTACCTACCTACCTACCTACCTACCTACCTACCTACCTACCTACCTACCTACCTACCTACCTACCTACCTACCTACCTACCTGCCTACCTGCTTACCTACCTACCTACCTACCTGCCTACCTACCTACCTACCTACCTACCTACCTACCTACCTACCTACCTGCCAGTCCAACTAGTCATCCACTTATTTTCTTGATGAAACATTCACCACCATTTTATTTACTCCCATAAAGAACACTTATATTTTATTTTCATTTGATCCACAGTAACTTTAAAAAATTCCATGTTATTGTTTCACTCATGAAGGTCCTTTCATCATTATAATTTTATAACTGGGTCAGTTATTTGGTTCTTGGTAAGCGAAGATATTGTCGAAAATTTATGAAGGCCATTTCAGAGCTGCCCATTCTGTGCGGCCACTGCTCGAAGCAGATGCCCAGAAGTGCACTGGACAACCACGAGAAGAACCTCTGTCCAGACAGGTTTTAATGGTGATGACGAAGATGGTGATGATGAGGAAGATGATGGTGATGGTGGTGATGATGATGCTAGAGATAGATGATTATGATGATGATGACTTGGTAAAGAAGAAGAAGAGGATGATGATGATGATTGGGACTGTGGTGATGCTGAAGTTCATGATAGTGATGATGATTGCAAGAATGATGATGATGATTGTAAGGGTGATGATGATGATCATGAGGTGATGATGAGGATGGAGAGGAGGATAATGGTAATGAGGATTGTTTTTATGTTGAGTTTGGTGGATTTTGACATGAGTGGCAAAATGGTTCGTCTTTCTGGCAGTGGTTGTGTTTATGGTTTTATTTCTTGTTCTCTTGTTCTTATAATTAAGATTATGATTTGGTTTACATGACAGATATTGTAATAAAATTTTTGAAATTGTGTGCAAATTTCTCCACTTCTATATTTTTGTATACTGACCAGACTAGTTCAATGTTCATACACAAAGTTGGGCTGTACGTGGGTTGATAAGTTCTGCATGCTTCAAAATCATGAAAACAACTGCAACATCTCCAAGTTATCAGGTTGTTTGATTGAATCCGGTTTGCTGATTGGTTGGTTGATTTGCAGGCTGGTTGGTTGATAGGGTGGCTGGGATTGATTGGTTAGTCTGTTGGCTGGCTGGTTAGTTGGCTGGGATTGGTTGGTTGGTTGGTTGGATGATTGGTAGAAAATTTGATTTTATTGGTGCTAATGGTTATCACTTTTCCAATCATCATCATCTTCATCATCATTATATTCTTCATGCATCATCATCATCGTCAGGACAGGAAGTTCTGCCTTCAGTGCAGCAGGCACTTGCTGAGAAGAACAAGGAGATGTCTGTCTTCAGGAGCATCTATGACCTGCTCAGTGCCGAGAAGATTGTTCCTATTGGTCAGTTGTTGTTGGGGATGTTAATGATGATGTGCATGATGATGGTGATGATGACGGTGTGGATGGTGATGATGATGACCGGCAATTGCAACATACGTTGAGCAGTGAACACGCTGCAGAACATGAGGCCTCTGCATCGTCTTCTATGTTTGCGTGTGTCTGCATCCATATAGACAGCTGCCCAGCAACAGCAAATTAATTTGAGAAATGAAACTCTTGTTGTTTGAGCTAAAGGGTCAAATACTCAAGTGTCCAGTGCCACTATCACTCATCTTAACATTGTCATCACTCACAACCTTTTCATCATCATCACTACGTCATCATCGTCATCACTACGTCATCATCGTCATCACTACGTCGTCACTACCGTCGTCTTCTTCATCACCACCACCACAGACGCGCAGTTGCGTCCAGGCCGAACAGACGAGTACATCCCGAAGTTGTTCTACGAGTCGAACAGGTTCACTGCTCATAGCTATCAATGGACGGTGAAGGCGAGGGTGAACGAGAGTGAGAACAGCAACCCACTGCACAGCATCACGAGGACTCTCAGCTATCAACTCAGTCTCAAGAGCAAGCTGGCAGCTGGTTCTATTCTGGTTGGTTGATTGATTGGCTGGCTGGCTGGTTGGTTGGTTGGTTGGTTGGTTGACTGGCTGGCTGGTTGGTTGAATGAATTATTGATAGGAAAGTTGATTATTTTAGTAATTTGTAAATTTTTATTCGTTGGTTATTCAATCAACTAATCATTTCTTTCGCCCAATGATAATATAACAGCAGCAGTAATAACATTATAATAATGAATAAAAGTCAATATACCGGCATGAGAACATACATTGATAAAAATATCATTTAAATTTGATATGCGTATAGTATAATCTACTCAACCTAGCAACTCACCTTTTTCCAGCCCACCTCACCCCACTCCACCCCACCCCACCCCACCTTACAGCTCTCGTACGTGGCAGTGAAGGGCCCGTTCGGGGAGGTGCCCATCAACCCGGCCATCCACGACTTCGAGTTTTCCTCTGAGAATTCAGACTCTGCCTACAAGGAACTCATCCTGCCAAGCTCCACCGACTGCAACAGGCTGCTGGCTGGAAAGACCATCAACATCAGACTGATCATCGTGCAGAACGTTAAGTAGCTATGAGGATGGTGACGACGACGACGACGATGACGAATGGGAGGATGATGAGGATGACGATGAAGGAGATGATAAAGAAGAAGATGATGATTGTAGTGATAATGATGCTAATGATGGTAATATTAAATACATTTTAATAATGTTGAATTGTCACATTTTTAGATATCATAGCGCGCATAGAACATGTTTTTCTTCTTAATCATTCTATTTTTTAAATTCTCTATTGTTAAGTAGGGGAGCTGAGAAAGACTTCTAAACGAATTACATCGTTGCTTACAATGAACAATAACCATTAGACATCCATTGACTGCTTATAAACAGTCTTTAATGTTTCAATTTTAAATGTATTTACTTGTATAGTATTTGAATGTGTATATAAATTTATTTGTACGATTATTTGTCCGTTTGTTTATTGATCTTTTTATTTATTTATTTGTATATTAATGCACTCATTAATTAATTAATTAATTAATTAATTATTTGATTCATTTCATTATTTGCTTATTTATTTATTCATTTATTTATTTTTTTAAAATGTTAATGAGTCGATTATTTTATTCACGTTTATTCTCTGTTACGTCTTTTTTTTGTATAAAATTTCTATTTTTAAACTTCCCATAAATAATAACAGTCGATGATTTTCGACATTACGTGAGTTTGTATGCTTAATTTCAAATCTTGGTGACTTTGTTGAGGTCCTGTGGTCATGGTCAGCCTCTAGCTGGTTCTTTAATTCATGTTTTCATTATTATAATAATAATTTACGTCGTAATTCACATTACATTTTATTATTATTCGTATTATTTTATTATAATTCATACTCTATTTCAAATTGTTTTTTTTTTCATATTGTTATTCTTGTTACAATTCACGTTAAAACTTTGTAAATATAAGGAGCCATCGAATACCTACCCGCTCATGTCATCGTCCATTTATTCGCCTCTATTTAATACATTTGTCTGCTACTGATACATCTTCAGCGTTTTTTTTATTTGCATCAGCTAATCCATTCAAATTTTCTTTATTCAAATGTTTTTTATCTATTTTAAGTTTCTTCCATGGAATCTACCTTTAGCACAGTCACAAGTACGGAGTTCGCTTTACCGCTTAATTAGTTAGATGCAATTTACTCTTTTATATATTGCACCGGGATTTAGCCCATTATAATGTGTTAAGCGGTTTGTTAGACAAAGTCGCTTGGTTCGCCGTCAAGTGCTGCCGAGCGGTTTTTTTTGTGGTTGCGTTGCATTACGTGTGAGTGTGATGTGTTGTGCAGCTTAATTCGCTTCTTATGCTCTTCTATATTTGAAAGAAATGTTGAATCCTTTTTTATATAAATGTATTCACTACCAGTGACAATGGAAATAATGAGGTTAATTTTAATGAAGATGTAAATGTATTTTTTTAATTGTAATTGCACCTACAAATGCGTGTGCATTGTTATCATTTGAATGAATTTTCAAGCGTATTCATTTTTCTTCATACGAGGTTATTATTTTAACTTTTTGTTTTGTCCTTTTGCGTATGGGTGCATTCGTGCTTCTTACTGAATAAAATTCAACATTAAGTTCATGTTCACGTTGAATAGGATTCGGGAAAAGACTACTGACTGCCTCGCGGCCTCCACAAGGAAGAGGCATCTACAATAAACATAAACAAATGACCAAACAAAGATTTGAATTAAGACGGGCCACCAACTCTTTCTATTTTGAAATATGAAAATAATTTGGAGCTCCGTCCCTTCCTTGCCCAACTCCAGATCCGGTCTGCAAGTTGAATGAGGATTATCTGTTTATTCATACACACACACACACACACACACACACACACACACACACACACACATATATATATATATATATATAACACTTGTATTAAAAGAAGAATGCAAGCTTTTGAAATGCTAATGAGAACAACTATTTTTATTTCGTTGTTGTTGTTGTAGTAATTATTATTATATTGTTGTTCGTTGATGAAGGTTGTGATGATGATGATGATGATGATCGTCATCATAGTTAACAAGATTAACAGTATAACAAACTTAAAATACATTGACAGAAATGACATGAATGTTTATTGTACTGCGTATATATGATGGCAGTATGTATGTATGCGTGTATGTATGTATGTTTGTATGTATGTGTGTCTGTGTCTCTTTATGTGTACATGTTTGTATTCGAAATTTTAGTAAGAAAAGAAAAACACAACAGTTGCTTTTATTTGACATCATCAAAAGATGAAAAGTGACGAAATTAAAATTTGTTAAATGTCAATTTTTTAAAAAGTTCAGATTTTAAACAAATATAACAAATTATCGATCGATAAAAAATAATTATCACGAAACATGAATATTTAGTAAGGACAGTTCACAGCATATCATAATGACTAAATCAACATACCAAACAGAAATTATTCATGCGTGCATATATACAAAGTAAATCAGGAAATATCCAAAAATTATATAACCAAAATAAGAAACCAGTCAACATTTTACAAATAAATGAATAGACATTATTAAAAAGATTGTTCAAAAATGGTAAAATTTAAGGCGACGACAAAAAAAATTGTAGTTTGTTTTGTTGGTGTTGTGTGGTGCTAAGAAGCGAAAACAAACACACCACAAAAAAAAATATTAAAAAGTCGCAAGAATAGTAGTCAGTCACCTACCTACAATTAAATTACTCTCAGGGCCCTAGCTTACCTGTAATGATAACTCAACTCATTTATTTTACATATTTTAACGTTTTAATTTTACTTGAAGCTTTTAATTTATGTTAATGTTAATATTTTACTTGAAACTTTTTAACTAATGTTAAGCCCTAGCCTACCTACAGTTGTTCAACTCATCTCAATCCCTAACTTACTTATGAATTAACTTAAGTCCGGTAAAGAAAATAGAAAGTTGAAGAGAAACATAACAACGACACCGATTGAATGGATGTTGTGTATGTGTGTGTTGTATTTATGTGTGTGCGTGTATGTAAATGTGCGCGCGCGTACCCTCCAGAAACTTCTTCACCCACTACGGACAAACCTCCATTGCACCGACCATCATCTGACACGCACCGAGGAAATGAATTTTACCGGATACTGAAAAACAAAATTGAAAGAAAAAGTTAATTTTTTAAAATAAAAAACAAGCCATTGAAAAAAAGTAAGAAGCAACTTATCTTACCAAGAGATTACCATCATGAAACGTGCCGACTCCCACCACAACCCACCTCTGATCATTCTGTAGACAAATTTTTTTATTGGCTTAGTAGTAAATGAATGTTAAAACGAAAGAACAAACGAATAAATGATTGAGCGAATGATTGAGTGATTGAATGAATTAACCAATCTATGATTCAATGAATGAATAGAGTGAGTCAATTAATGGATGAAAGAAAGATTGTGTGACAAAATGAATGAATGAAAAAAATAAAAACAACGAAACTAAACCATACTTCAAAAATCGTTGTTGTTTTCTTAGAGTTGTTATCGGAACGATCATCATGAGACCACCATCTGAAACGTGCTGACGCCCACCACTGCCCACCTCTCATCAGTCTGTAGACAAGTTATTTTTATTAGCTTAGTAGTAAATTAATGTTAGAATCTTAGAAGCAAAAAATTATGAAATGGAAATAATGGCAAATAAATGATATTTGAAAATAATAAAGAGAGTAAAATGTGAAAAAAACTTACCGTCGTCCATTCGACAAAGGCAAAATGATGAGTGCCTTCCGTTTCCTGCGTTGTCCTCCAAAACTGGTGTCAGTCCTCCTCGAGATTGTTGTTGAAACACAGCCCGTGGAATGGAGAAAGAGAAAATTCTCATCAGAAAGCTTAGCGGTGCCTGCATCTTAAATTGCTTAATAAAAATAATCCTATCTACCTATTCAATTACCTTAACTAATCTATAATAAATTGTTAATGGTACGATAGTCGAAAGTTCCCCTTCATTCTCCCTCCTTGCACAGAGGTTCACCGACAGCCAGGGCACCGGATAGTAAACCATTGCCGAGCGGATAGTAGACTACTGCCTTGCGGATAGTAAACCATTTGCCGTCCGGAAGCCGTGCGGGTAGTAGACTATGGCCATGCCGCATAGTAAATACATATTAATATGCTTAAAACATTGTAGTAATTCTCTTTTAATTTTATTAAATAAAATTATGATTTTATTAAATAAAATTATGTAATATTAAATTATTGTTGTTAATTTGAATATAAAAATTATACTTTTGGTCCTGTGAAATCCGGTGGTTTTTTACTGAAGCCGAATGTTGGCTAAGTAGGATTGAACTAAAGTCACCCTTTTTTACACTATTCGATCATGTTAAAAATTTATTTGCTCATGAAATAAACGACCTAAATAGATCAAAATTGTTATTTGAACAACTATCTTCATTATATTCAATGAATATTTTACATTCCGCTGGTGCTCATAGAAATTATAGTTGCTGAAATCATACGTTGGCTTACTGCAGTGGCTTACTGGGTCTCATGCAACAGTGTCATGGCAGTTTTCTTTACATATAATGCTTTAAATAAGTCAATATATTCATTTCACAATTATTTTTGTCAATATAAATAAATTGCTTTTGTCTGGTAAAATACAGTGGCCAAGTAAAGCCGTATTTGGCTTAATCGGATTTTTTTTTCATATATAAAATACTATGAGATCAATCAATCAACCAATCAATCAACCAACCATTCATTCAATCAACTAGTCAACTAACCAATCAATGAACCATATTTGAAAAATATTTGCAAGGCTTGTTCAAACTCGAACAAACACTTAACTGTACAGATCTACAAACAATTTCGAGATTTTAGTAAAGAAAGAAAAACACAATAGTTGCTTTTATTAAATCAAGAAATATCCAAAAATTATATAACCAAATTAAAGAAACTTGAAACCAGTCAACATTTAATAAATAATCAAATAAATAAATAGACGTTATTAAAAAGATTGTTCAAAAAGGTAAAATTTAAGGCGACGACGAGAATAAAATGTAGTTTGTTTTGTTGGTGTGGGGCTGTGAAGCGAAAACAAACACATCACAAAAAACTAGTAAAAAGTCGCAAGAATAGTAGTCAGTCACCTACCTACAATTAAATTACTCTCAGGGCCCTAGCTTATTTATAATCATTAACTCAACTCACCTACCTACAAATATGTTTTTCTACGTTTTTGGAATTTTACATGTTTTAGGTATTTTATTTTACATATTTCAGCGTTTTTATTTTACTTGAAACTTTTTAACTAATGTTAAGCCCTTGCCTACCTACGATTGTTCAACTCATCTCAATCCCTAACTTACCTATGAATAAAATTAAGTCCGGTAAAGAAAATAGAAAGTTGAAGAGAAACATAACAACGACACCGATTGAATGGATGTTGTGTATGTGTGTGTTGTATTGATGTATGTGCGTAAATGTGCGCGCGTTTACTCTCCAGAAACTTCTTATTGTCATCTTCGAATTGTCATCGGAACGATCATCATGAGACCACCATCTGAAACGTGATGACGCCCGCCACAACCCACCTCTCATCATTCTGTAGAAAAATTTTTTTATTAGCCTAGTAATAAATGAATGTTAGAATCTTAGAAGAAAAAAATTCTAAAATGAAAATAATGGCAAATAAATAAACTTCTTATTGTCATCTTCGAATTGTCATCGGAACGATCATCATGAGACCACCATCTGAAACGTGCTGACGCCCGCCACAACCCACCTCTCATCATTCTGTAGAAACATTTTTTTATTAGCCTATTAATGAATGAATGTTAGAATCTTAAAAGAAAAAAATTCTAAAATGAAAATAATGGCAAATAAATAAACTTCTTATTGTCATCTTCGAATTGTCATCGGAACGATCATCATGAGACCACCATCTGAAACGTGCTGACGCCCACCACAACCCACCTCTCATCATTCTGTAGACAAATTTTTTTATTAGCCTAGTAATGAATGAATGTTAGAATCTTAAAAGAAAAAAATTATAAAATGAAAATAATGGCAAATAAATAATATTTTAAAATAATAAAGAGAGTAAAATGTAAAAAAAATTTACTTTCGTCCATTCGACAAAGGCAGAATGTTGAATGCCTGAGTGAGTCAAGAGTCAATGAATTAATTAATGATTCAATGATTAAAAAAATAAATTAATGGAAAAATGATTTGAAAGATTGAGTGATAAAATGAATGAATAAACGAACGAATGAATGAATGAATAAACGAACGAATGAATGAATGAATGAATGAAT